AAACTTGAAGCTGATGTACTTATTTCACACAAGTTGATATTAGTAGACACAGAGTCTTCAGATACACAGTCTACAGATACAAAAAGTAGAGATAAAGAGAGTAGGGGAAATGGAGGAAAAGAGAAAAGTTTAAATACACAAAGCAGGAATAAACAGAGTCGTAGGAATGGAGGTGAAGAGAAAAGTTCAGATCATATTCAAATTGTTTGGATAGCTGCATGCTTACTTTGCATCATCAATTTATATTGAAATTACATGTACAATGTAGTGCTCGGACCGGTAATGAAAAGTGGTGCCGGTATTACCGTATGTCATTACCGATATTTACCGACTATTTAGCAAGTATTTTGAAAAAAACTAAAAAAAAGTTTTCTAAACAATCCTGATTCTAACGGTTCATGTGATATAAACTCGTAAAATAAATATGTTTTCGTTCGTTGTATTATCAGCCTCGTTCTGAACTTCAAATCGGGCGATAATAGGTAAAGTGAAACTTCAACGTCAGGAAAATGGTTTAATTCTGTTTATTTTACTTAGTAATGTACACAAATCGGTTTCTATACATAACAGTTTAGTTAATAAGTGAGAAAAGAAACTATAAAGATCATACTGATGAAGGAATTTGGCTGATTCCGCCCGGGAATCTAATTCAGCTGAATGCCGTCCATTGCCGGTAAGAAGATTTTGATGCCGACATTAGGTCAAATCAGTGCCGTTGCCGGTAATGCGGTATTACCTCCGACCACTAGTACAATGGAGAAGCAAAAAAATACTGAATGATGAAATAAACCATAATTGCCATATTTGGCGCCCATCCCCTAATAAGTGCCCATCCTGCTTCACAATTTTCAAGAAATATTGGGAAAGTACTAAATATCAATGGAAACATCAGGAAAAAAATATTTTCCAAAGAAGTCAAGTGAGTGATAATAGAGTACTTACACTAAAATGCTGTAAAAGTGATGCATTTTGTATTTCAATGCATCCCATCCATCCTATTAATATCTATCATTGGCTGCTTTCCACATCCACTCTACTATACCTAACTGGTAGAAATGCATAAGATGTTCGTTCTGTTTGTCTAATTGTATTGTTTAATACATTTTTAAAAGTACAATATTAACAGTCATCCGATAAACCATTAATAATATTAATAAAAACAAATTATATAATCACTACTAATAAGCCAAATTGGTTGTTCATGAACACCAAATGCAAGGTATAGTAGAGTGGCATCATACTTGCACCGCAAGATAAACTCCATCAAAAAATAAATATTTTTTGAATTTGTATCACTTTCACAAAGTCGATAGGTTGAAAAGTTGTTGCATACCTTTTAGGCCTCACAATAAGAGGTCCTCAAAATTATGAGGTTTTAATGGTGTTATAACTCTAAAAATCAATCGACTCAACCATAAATACTTTACTGAACGCATTATATATATTTTTTTAGAACAGTTATAGCTAATCAAGTAAGTCTGACTCATATTCCACATTATTCAAGTTGAACAATGTATTTCATCTCCGTATTGTGTGTATGTTATAGCAATTACAACACTTTGCAATAAACTGCGGCCACAAGCCTATTGCTTTTCTTGTAAACAGATGTTGTGTTTATTTGAAAGTAACCTGACAAATGGTATAGAACAGAAAATAACATGTACAGGTATAGAAATTTTTTCAAAAATTTTTTAATTCCAACAATACCTTAACCAAGTAAGCTTCTGCACAGGTTTAATGCACATGTCATGAACTTTCTCCTCAATCTTACGACTTTTACACAACTTTTATATAAAAATGTTGATATGACAATAAATTAAAAAATATAATAAGCCACACGGTGAACAGAATCACACCCTTGAACAGAATACACTTTTCGGGATGGAAAATTCAAAATGGCCACCTTAACATTTACACAGACTGCCTAAAAACTAATCAGTTCTAAACTTTCCATAGAAACATCTCTAAATTTTAGGATGAATCCATGAAACCTGTAAACAACCCTCAAGATTCACGTTTTAAGGTATTACTTCACAGTGTATCAGCTTTTTTTCTGCGATTCAGATTTTCCTGAAAAAAATCCTGGTAAAAGATATACTGATGTATTACAAAATATGTGAAAATTGGAAAGATTGACCGTTTAGTTATTTCTAAAAAAATGTTTTAATTTAACATTGCTCTCAATGGGAAATTCTTTTTATTTTTTAAAACAAGCCTTCACAGACACGATTTTAGGACGAAAAATCCAAAATGGCCACCTTAACATTTACCAAGAATGGCGAAAAACTAAACAGTTCTAAACTTTTATAGGTAGAAACATCCCTGAGAATTTCAAATGAATTCCTAAAATGGTTTGGCTGGAAACCTGTAGAAAAGCCTTGACAGACAAGATTTTAGGACAGAAAATCCATAATGGCCATCTTAACATTTACCCAGAATGCAAAAAAACTAATCAGTTCTAAACTTTCATAGGTAGAAACATCCCTGAGAATTTCAAATGAATCCCTCAAATGGTTTGGCTGGAAACCTGTATACAAGCCTTGACAGACAAGATTTTAGGACGGAAAAATCCAAAATGGCCGCCTTTAAATTTACCCAGAATACCGAAAAACTAATCAGTTCTAAACTTTCATAGGTAGAAACATCCCTGAGAATTTCAAATGAATCCCTCAAACGGTTTGGCAGGAAACCTGTAGACAAGCCTTGACAGACAAGATTTTAGGACAGAAAATCCAAAATGGCCGCCTTAACATTTACCCAGAATGCCTCAAAACTAATCAGTTCTAAACTTTCATAGGTAGAAACATCCCTGAGAATTTCAAATGAATCCCTCTAACGGTTTGGCTGGAAATCTGTAGACAAGCCTTGACAGACAAGATTTTAGGACGGAAAATCCAAAATGGCTACCTTAACATTTACCCAGAATGCTGAAAAACTAAGCAGTTCTAAACTTTTATAGGTAAAAACATCCCTGAGAATTTCAAATGAATCCCTCAAATGGTTTGGCTGGAAACCTGTAGACAAGCCTTGACAGACAAGATTTTAGGACAGAAAATCCAAAATGGCCGCCTTAACATTTACCCAGAATGCCGAAAAACTAATCAGTTCTAAGCTTTCATAGGTAGAAACATCCCTGAGAATTTCAAATGAATCCCTCAAACGGTTTGGCTGGAAACCTGTAAACAAGATTATTCAAGACATCCGCCCGCCCGGCAAACTGATTACAATATAGCACCTTAGGGTGCGATAAAAAATGTTGATCTATCATTAAATCAAAAACATTAGTTAGAGCTTAAGATCGATACCTAACAGTCTCTAGTTGAAACAATGTATATAATCAAGGAAAAAAATTCCTTTGATTCAGGAGGCTCCCCTGGGAATGCTTCATTATTGTTTAGTTTAATACTTGGTTCATTTAAGCGATCTTTGCAATAAACTCTCCAGTAACAATCCATATCATTATTGTGAAACTATACTGTTATTTCATACTGAGGTTGCAAATACATGTAAGCCATTTTTGGCAAGAAAATTGCTATACAGAAAATTCCCAGGAATTTTTGACTTTTTCATGTATGGGCGCTTATCACAAAATGGTCTGAAGGAGGTATTTTCTTCTAAATATTCTAAACAACCTGAGGGGTCATTCATCAAGCTATCGCAATCACTGCGACGTCGCAGACACTGCGACCACCATGCGACGTCGCAGTGACTGCGACCTATTCATTAACAAATCGCAGTCTGCGATGTCCATGCGACCAGTCGCAGTGATTACCACGTGGACGTGCTTGTACACGTGTTAGTTATCCTTTCGAGATCCTCTTGTATCATTTCGTAAACTTTTATAATAGTTAACCCTAGACATGTGACATCGCAAAATAAGGTCCACATCATCGTTTATTTGAAGAGGATCTGTACGATCTCTAAGTACGCGTTCTCTACGCAGAGCATTACGGTTGAAATCAACCATCAGTTGCTCCATTTCGAACGAATAAACGCTTCCAAGATTGACAATATGGATACTGAGTGGGCACAGCCACGTGGGTCAAAACCACGTGTAACGCACAATCACTGCGACTGGTCGCACGGTGAAGTACTTAAAAATACAAGCCGAAAACTAGCTGTTTTTGGTAGCATCACAAACATGTTAAACATAATGCATATGCTCTGCAATTTTAATATAACATGGATCGAATATCGAACTATACGTCCTAGAATTTCTATATAATTTCATAAAGAAATTCAACTAATTTAAGACATTTTTCGTGAACTAAAATCACTGCGACTGGGTACCACCAGTCGCTTAAATTTGGGCCATTTTAGGGGTATTTCACTGCGACGTCACAGAAAATTCTACCGATCGCAGTAACACGAGATTGATGAATAGGACATTATCGCTAAAAAGGGCCCTTGCGACATCGCAGGCTTGCGACGTGCTTGCGATAGCTTGATGAATGACCCCTCTGGGCGCTAATTACAGGGAATAAAGTAATCAATGTTTGCGACAAGAAAATACTATAAAAAATGAATAAATAGAGAGTAAAAAACATTGTCATCTTAAACAAACATTTGAATTATGTTTTTATTGAACAACTGAATAAATAAATGAAATGTTTCAAATTAGACATATTGTAATCCTGCTAAAAAATGTACATATATATTATCTTAATCCTACCTTGATTGTATCATTTTACATTTTAAATTAATTCCTATTTATAAAATATATTTCTGTAAAACACAATTTGTAATTGTAATCTCTGTAATACACACCTAGTATTTTCTAGATAAATCATGAATATGATCAAAGCTTAAACAATCTTTCATTGTAAGCTGTTGAAGGAAGACATGGGTTTGAAAACTCAAATTCTATTTTTTGTCATCATTCTAACACTTATCATACATAATGGGAAAGTTTTTTCACAGTTGCGTGGTAGTGGCAAACAAAAACGATTTAATGGGAAACAACAAGCAAAAAGTACAACTGCACAAGCGCCTAGAGTGGACAATGGTCTAGCAACAGGACGAATCTTTCAAAATGCATCTTCTACAAATAATCCTGAATGCTTTCTGAGAGTCAATGAGGTAGATTGTGTATCCGGTAAGAGGTCATGCAAGGAAAGGTGTGGCTGGAATGTAAGTGAGACATCAGACTTTTATTGCCAATGTGATGCCAAGTGTGCTGATTATGGAGATTGCTGCTCCGATTATATTAAAGAGTGTGTAAAGAACAGAACTACTGACCACTTTATTGATATCAGACAGAGCAAAAGAGGGGAGTACAAATGCTTAGATGTCGGCCGTAAGTGGGTGTATTTGCGGGCAACATGTCTCCCTGAGTATCGGGGAATGCTACTTGACACAGACTGCCACAACAGCAATGGTATTCTTGGCAAAAACCCTGTTGAAGATGTTTCCACTGGTGAACAATATAAAAATATCCACTGCGCTCTCTGTAACAATGTCAATGACACAGCACAAATGTGGAAAAACAATATCTCGTGTCCCCTTAAACTGATCTCGAGCGAGGAATTTCAACATACTGATCTGAACACTATGTTAATGCTTTTAACTAATCAAGAATGTCATACAGAGTTCATTGCACCTAACTCTTCACGAAATTGTGTTCCCTTTGAGTACACATGCACTCATTGCTTGGACACTGGCTTATTGGACAGATGTGCACAAGGAGGACTTCAGGGCATAGTTTACCAGTTTGTAACTTACTACAACTGGAACTGTATTCTTTGCAACCATCATCTCACACAAACACCAACACCAAGAGAACTGTGTTCAGATATTCGATTCATGTTCAGTCGAGGCCTACCATACATGCTATTCTCTCTACAAATTTTGGTAGATATGGTCAGCAAGGACAACTACAAGTATAAGGTAAATACAGAGGGTGAAATATTTGGTATGAAAAAGCTAGAGTTTCAATGTGACAAAATCAATGGGTGCAAAGCAAATTCATGTCCAATGGGCTTTGCTAAAAAGAATGCCTCTTGTGTTCTGGTTCAAGATCTTGTAGAAATTTCGCTAACTCTTAAAACATATCCTCCATTAGTAGCAATGACTTCAGTTTTTTTCAAGAAAATGTCTGATATGATTTCACAAGTTTTCAAACCTTTGGGATTCCTCAATAAAGAAGCAGTAAAATGCAAATCAGTCTGTGGGAACATAATGGTGTTCACTTTTAATATCACAAAGCCTCCAGATTTCAAACTAAATTGGACAAATAATGAGAATGTGTCTGAGATGGAATGGAAAGTTGAACAATATCTTAAGGACTTGAAACTAGAAGCTGATGTACTTATTTCACACAAGTTGATATTAGTAGACACAGGGTCTTCAGATACACAGTCTACAGATACAAAAAGTAGAGATAAAGAGAGTAGGGGAAATGGAGGAAAAGAGAAAAGTTTAGATACACAATGCACAGATAAACAGAGTTGTGGAAATGGAGGAAAAGAGAAAAGTTCAGATCATATTCAAATTGTTTGGATAGCTTCATGCTTACTTTGCATCATCAATTTATATTGAAATTACATGTACAATGGAGAAGCAAAATATAACAAGTAGTGAATAAACATTGAGTAAGAAATAGTGCCATCCTACCTAAAAATGCAAACATTTACATGTATAATTTGTTTTCATTCAACAACTTCAAGGGAGGTCATTAATGTAATATTGTATTGTATTTTGTTTACCACCAATGAAGGTGAGCAATACCTCTTGGGTATATCCCGTATATATACGGTCGTAATTTACGTAATTAACCTGGAAGATAGACCCAGAAACCCCTCCTTGAAGGAGCCCTGTGTTCTTTTATGTGCACTTATACATAGACATATACACACCACAATGTATTGATCTACCAAGGCCTTCCTAGTATGTAATAATTAGCTGCAAATTCATATTGCAAATAAACAAAAGTTAACCTTTAAAAATCAACAAATGAATGAATGAAATGTTTTAAATTGGAAATATTGTAATCCTGCACAAAAATGTAAACATATACTGGTTACATACTGGTAAATAAAACAGGTGCACATTTAATTGAATCAAAAACTTTTTAAAGTGGTGCTTTCCTCTAAACTTAACTAACAATTCAATTTCATGTCTCATAAAATCCCCTTATTGAACATTGCTAGATGAATTTTTCATATTTATGATGTCAATTTATGATAAAAAGTCACACTTACGATTTTGTAAGTTGTTCTATTCATTCCTTTCTAATTTTTTACCATATTTCAAAATTCCCCATTTGACGAAACATACATACAGGTTGTATCTCTACATACGTTGTGCCTCTAAATGTTTGGTATGATAAGAAAAATTAAAGATATGACTGATAAAGCACCATACACCCTTTTCTAATTTGCAGAGGGTATTATTTTAATCCTACCATGATTGTATCATACATGTATTTAGATAATGCATTTTATTTTAATCTCTAATTATAAAATATATGTCATGTGAGATAGATTTAATCTTATGTTACTTTATGATACATGTGAAATAGCTACACAAACATTATGAGCACATAAGCATACACTTTATAAAGAATAAAATCCTAGAAAAAATTGATATCTTAGTGATATACAAAGTCTAGTGAGTTCTCAACTGTATTAGAGTTTATATTAGAGTATATTAGAGTACAGCACCCAAGAGTTAATTGCAGTAGAACTTTTGTATTAGGTGGAATGCCCTCGGGACCACAAAACCTGTTCTACTTGTGACTGTTCCACTTGTAGAAGTTCATTAACATGGAGTCAATGGGTCCCAGGACCTTTAGAAACCTGTTCTATTCAGTCGATATGTTACAACATGCGCAAAGCTCTATTTAGTGATATTTTCATTTCAAATATGGCGGCCAATCCGATGTCTGACGACCCTTACAAAGAATCTAGGCAGTGTGCATTTTTACCTCCTGTGAAATAACAAGTGGAATTTAGTAATTTAGTAATTTTAACATGCGCAGAAGTCCCATTTTCGTTGTACCATATTGACTGTACTTGTGAGGTGTTTCACTTAAAAAGGTTCATAATTTATCACACCCCAATTTTGTGTAAATCAGTCATACATTGAAATATGTAGCCAAAAAATCAGTTGGACATATATTTCATTGTAGATATCAAATTCCCTAAACGCCGTAAACCTCCTTGACGTCGTATGATTCCAAAGAGAAATTAATTTCTCGGAATTTTTTCATTTATATTGGAAACTGAAGTGTCTGGATGATATATAAAAATTGTTTTGTTTATCTTATCAATATTTCAAGATGATAGGGCTAGAATTGTAGAAACTATGACAATTTTCGTGAAAGATTATCATTTTTTTCTTGAAAAATGTCGTGCTTTCTAGAAGGTTTGGGAAGTTTTAGACCGTGTTCAGACAAGATGTCGAGACGTAGTGATACTAGAGGTATGTCTGCATGGTATGGGCAATGTCTTTACGAAAGGGAAATGACCATATTCTGTCAATACGTCGAAATAAATGAGTACTTACATATCTCCCGCCTGAAATGCTTGTATGTCGCCGTAAACTTCCGGTGTTACGACGTATAAGAGAATGGGGTGTGTTTATAGGCCACAGGACTTCAAAAACCTGTTCCACTTGTGAGTTGGTTCATTGAGTTAATGGGCTACAGGACTTTAAAAACCCATTCCACCTGTGAGGTGTTTCACTTACCAAGGTGTTCCAATTAGCAGTTTCTAATGATCATGTATTTGATGTCTACAATCTTTCCCCACAATACACACTAAATGTAGCAATCAATGAATCGTAATATCCAAATTCAAGAAAAAATCCAAACAAGATATTAGAGAGTTCAAAACTCACAGATTAAAATTACATGTATCATCTGCTTGGACATTTACCTTATCTTTGAAGTATGAGTAGAGGAATGTTTTCCATTCTGCAGTGTCAAGGGATTTGTACTGGTACTGCTTGATATACTCTCTCAGGAATGGTTCAAACACATCTGTAGATAAAATATTGCGATGTAGTAAGTACAATAGCCACAAGGTCGACAAATTAATGGCAGTCTGGGTCTGTCTAATCATGAAGGAAGGTAAAGAAATAAGAAATAAAGAAATAAACAGACCTCAAATTCAACGACATTTTTATCAACTAATTCTTTTATCGCCCATCAAAATAATTAAATTTCTATCATTTTCTAATTGAAATAAAGTATAAAATGTATGTTCATTCAACTTTATTCGGAACTTTGGATTCCTTTTTCAATTCTTATTCGCCTGGCTCACCTGGACCTCCTAGCTTCTGCTCTAGGTAGAACAATAGATTGGAACCTTTCTCATAAGGCACAGTTCCAAATGCATCATCAGGGTCTATTCCTGTGAGATCTGGGGTGAGTTTGGTCAATACATTGTCTGCACCACGAATATCTATCTAAAACAACATAATGTGAGCATATGTAAATCCAGGAATGGAGTATTTTCTGTAAAAATAACTCCAAGGAATCACTGACCAGGAATCTACATATTTCTTGAAACATTAAAACATACCAATCCTTCTTTTAATATTCGAGTCTTACAAATATAATGACCCAAGGGTGGCTCCAGGGAAGGTCAAAATGCCAAGCATAGTGAAACAAACCAGATACAGGCATGAAAGAAAGTGTGCTAAATTCAACGCCCCATGTGTTAATTGAGCCTAGGACCCTCAAATCCAAAGCCTGTGGCTCTACCATCTGAGCTATAAAGGCTTAAGCTAGGATTGTTGTCCAGAAGTAGGAAATTGCCATCCAGGAGTTTGTTTTTGGTACGATCCTAAGTTACGATTCCAGGAAAACCATTGTCTGCTTTTTGACGAACAATGACATACGACCGAATATTAAGTTACAACTGTTCCAAAAACAGACCCCCGGGTCATTACACAAATAAGTAAAGGCAGCCCAATACCTCATATTGTAGTGCCTTCATTCCCCCTATAGCTGAGAAATGTCTGTGAGGCTCGCCATGTAACCGTCCTGCAATTTTCCTCTCAAGGAACACAGTGTAACCTTCATTTAACCTGTAAATATAAATGTGATAAACATATACATATACTGTACATAAAATGTATATGCTGCAGAAACCCCACATTCTGATAAATAGTTTCTATACCAATAGTCCTACTCCATAATTAAATATGTTCTACAGCTAAGATCCAGGAATTCTGACACTATTTTAAGAAAATGTTGTTTTTTTTTTTCAATAATAAATCTTTATTTTCACATATTATTTTACAGGTTATTAATGTTGTTTACTGTAGAAGGAGAGAGACAGAGAAAGAAAATGTTTTGATTAACCATTTGTTACAGACAACGAATGCTGACTTCTGAACACCAACCACCAAACATTAAACATCATCCACAAAAAAATTGGAGACTATAACACTATGTCACCAATTCTGGTGGTGACATAACCACGGGTGGTGGTGACATAATAAAATTGGGTCACTAACTTACCAGAAATGTTCGAATGTTTTATTTGTGACAAGATTTCCTGTCCAACTGTGACTGATTTCATGAGCCACCACATCTGCCAGGGACCTGTCACCTGCCTAGGTTCAAAAATGAGAAACTGATAAAATGAATCACCACAAAAATACAAACATGAATGGAATTTCAGATGTAATAAGTCAACACTTCAATCTCAATCTAACTTTTATTTATACTTCATATATTCAATATGTTACTTTGACACTTCTAGCTGTCAGCTGGTTATTTTGACCCATCTGTCTGAATAATGTAAATCTTTGTTCCTATGGGTTCTACTCACCAGAAGTGTGGGGGTTACAAATGTAAGGCAGGGGTTCTCCATGCCTCCATATGGGAATGATGGGGGAAGAACTAAGAGATCGTATATTCCCCATACATAGGGTCCAGCTATTGCCTCTGCTGTTTGTAACATTTGTTCAGTCTAAAATAAAAACCATATCTTTTAAGATAAAAAAAAGTTTGAGAAGCTACATTTTCCAAACCATTGCTTTTAGGATCTACAGTAATTGAAAGATTACAAAAATATAAAAGGAATTAACATGAAAAAATGTCTCCATCTGGTTGAAACTGCAAAGTGTAACCATTTATTACAAACGCCAAGGCTGAATGTTAAATCAATGCCAAAGGTCGAGGTCGACCACTGGTTACAACATATAGTGGCAATAACGATGTGTCTTGAAAGCGACTTAATAAAATACATGTTCATTTTAAAGATTCTTACCTCGGCAAACTCATATGCAGATTCATCTACCAGTTCTTTCTCAGACCACACTTTGGATCTTGGCCCAATATCTCTGAAAATATGCAATTATGTGATGTGACAGTTGTTTGACAAACATGAATTCTTAAGCCCATCAATATTGTACTGTACAGTATTGTACTATCAATCAGGGTCTGTTGGGTTCAAGGTTATATTTATTAAAAATTCCATTTTTTGTAATACGAGGTCAAATTTACAGGTCATCTGGAAAGGTCAACTTTATAATAATATCAAAAATTTGATCATTTTTCTTCTTGCGCTCCAAAAAAACTTTGTCAAATTATAAAGACAATGGAATATGGCATGGGGACTCACAAGTGTATCACAGTTTATACTAAGAAGTGTTCTAATCATCAAAAAACAACATAAGAGATATTACATGAGTCTTATTTAGATATCAGGGACAAAATACAAAATATGAGATGGGACGTGCATTTAGCTAAGAAACAAAGGAGATATCAGCCCAGAATGCACAACCTACCTGCTTTCCAAAGCTCCGCCTACTATTGCAATGAGATATGCTGGGATTGGAACCTTCTGGTTAAACTTGTATGTAGTTTTACTGCAATCTTTCTTGCATGGTTCATTCCCTGTTCTTTCTGCACTCATTAGGATCACTATGTCTGATGGCGCAGTTATCTAGAATGTAAAACATAGATACTGTATAGTTACATATGAATGGTGTATTTTGTACAAAATTGATAATTTAAAATAAGAGGGTTGGATTGAAGCAAACTTGATTGAAAAATCAAATGAATAATTTGCTTGTAAAGTTCCTTCCAGCTATACTACATGTAGTATATCTTTGTCATACCTTGAAAAATATTTCTAACCATATTACAACAGTGTTTATACCTAGAGTCAGAGAAGGGGATGATCCATGGATTTTTCAAATCTTGTTTTTCGTGTGGTATAAAAATAGATTTATCAACCAAAGAAAAATGTGTGGCGGCAGATCTGTGAGTGAATCCCCTTGTATCACTTACCTCTGCAGTATATGAAGTTTTAATGGCTGGGGAGTCCTGACAAGGTACCATACTCCTGGCATGTATAGCCTCACACTGACTGAATAAATATGGCTGTCTCTTGCCAATGGTCTGTTCTGGCTTCAACCATTGCAGGGCAGTTGATTTAGGTGATGTTTCATACTCTATCTTTACTGAGACACTGGAATAAGGGAGAATTCATTTGTAATATGTCAATTCTCCTTTTCGTGGTTCGCTCTTTGAATCAGAACGTTCGCAAATATGTACTGAAAAAGCACTCAAAAAGGACAAAATTTGATTGGTCAATATTTTCCCACTATGCATATCGCGTAGCTATCTGCGTGACCCGAAAGTTCTAAATCAAACTTATTCCGCAATTTTGTTTTTACACCCGCACGCTTAATAAAACAATGACACCATCGAAAGTATTCTTCTTTGTCATTGCTTTATTAGTCAGTATACCGAGTTTAATCAATAAAAGATTGTACAATGAACAAAAAAATTCGGAAACGAGTACTATAGATTTGCTTTCGGACCACTGAACAGATTGACCTAGATAATAACGACGCGTCTTCTTTGCTCTACTGCTCAGTTGTTGTGGGTCTTCAACGTAACTCTATAATGTAATTTGAAGATGAATACTTTTATTCAGTTGTTGCATTGGTGTTGCAGTTTGTAGTGCGGTAAGATTGGCATGAACGTATTAAAAGTCGAATGGAATTGTCTTTTCTAATATGGCGACTAGTCAACTGATCACGTGACCTTCTCTTCCGGAATATTTTCTCACTTTTCAATCATCGTTTTCACCACGCTATCAATCAACGCAATGAAAAAAATAGCTGTTATATTAAGATTAATAAGAGATCAATCGTTTCTAATAATTTTTTCTGTACTCTCGTACGGGAATATGAACGAATATATCGTTTGAAAAATAGGTGTGAAAATCCCCATGTTAAACCTATGAAGGAAAACAAGGAAGTATAAATTTGTTCCTCCGCGAACTGCATCATGGGAAATATTTTGACCTTATAAGGAAAGATTTTCGCGCCTCCTCTTTTGAAGAGGGAACAATGATTTCGAGAATTGATGAATGGTATTTCAGTCATGTGTTAAAATACAAAATACGGAAAATGATGACATGTAATTAGCAGGACGTAGGTACATTCGTAACAGTTTTTAAAGTTGTACAATTTTTACAGATAGCCTTGGCAGTTTACTTTTTCATTATCTAAAGTGGATGATAAATGCCTCTGTTAGTAGACATACAAGGCAGGTTACAAAAATCAAAACTAAGAAGATACCAAACTTTTATATTAAATTCCTTCTTTAAATGATGTTAAGATAGAAATATAATTAAGCAAACATCTAAACTAATATTAAATAAACTAATGCTTTAACTGTTTTTAATAATATTTTATATTCAGTTTAATAGATTTGAAAAGACCCCTTATCATTATCTTTTTACCTTTGTAAGTCTGGTGAATCAAGTTCTACTTGTAATTTAGAACCAAAGGCCTGTACAGCATCGTCCAATGTATGCTTCAGTTCTTGACCTGTAACGTTGTTGAGAACTTTTTTTATCTTCAAGTCCCTTGTATCGAGTATCTACAAGTGGAGTGTTATTCTTCAAATATATTAGAACACTATAAAAGTTTTGAAATCATAAATGTTGTGATAGTATTGTTTTAATAAAGCAAACATATGTTTTTTCTGTCTATGTACAAAAAATCAAAAATCAAATGATTTGTGATATTTATATGAAAATTATAAAATTTAGAAAAGAGAAACACATGTTTTACATACAGTAGGACAATAAGGTTATGAAGTAACAAAATGTCATCACTTGGTTGCTAATAGTATAAAAGAGGACATCTACATGTACGTCAAACTTTTGTGATAATTCACTGCAATAATCTTGAAGTTCCAGACTGATATTGTCATTAACTAAAATCTGAAAATATCCTTACAAGTCCATTTGAGTTCAATGTTTGAGTTTCAAGCTAATCTGACAATTAGTTCTCGAGATATTGATTGCTATATCAAGATAATAAGAAGAAGAAAATATCTTGATTCAGGGCCACCTCCTCACAATTTATTTTGGGTATCCGAAACTGAGGTGACAGTCTTAAAATTAAATGACTTTAGATTTCTTTTTAAAAGTTTCATTTTCAAATTTTCTGCAAAAGTTGGCAGTCGATACTGGTATTAATCATATAACGAAACACACAATACAGATATGTAGGAATTGCATTTGATTACCATATTCTCTCTAAAAAGTGCACATCTCCAAAAGAGATTTTTATGATGAATACGGTCTCACGAAAATTGAAAATTGACTTACCAGCAAACAAGATTTTATTCTTTTTACTGCAAGGCTTTGAGGTTTTTGATATTTTCTTGATTACATTTGATGAAGAGGAAGCAATTTGACGCCAGTAAGGAGTAAGGTATTTGGACTTTTGCATGTCATTGGTCCTATATTTGGAATTCAAACCTCAATCATGCTATTCTGGCCAGATATTGCAAATGGGATGCGCTATGCCTTATTTTCACAAATGGACCAATCAGATTGCGAGAGGCATGCACATGCGCACTGCCATGAATAAAACATAATAGAGAATTTTACTTTCATTACCTGGTGTATATAATTTGCTTACAAAAATTGAAATTGCTAATTATGCAATACAAATTGGTTGGTATGGGACTATGTTGAAATTTGACAGATTGATGGGAACATATTGCTATCTGAGGTTTCGGCCTACATGGGCATTACTTTGTTTTCAAATTTTTTATGATTACATGTTTCTATTTCTAACGATTTAGCTTTTGATCAGAACTAGACTATCTAGATCTTAAGTTGATAAAAACTTTCAGATTGCATCAAATAACATTTTTAAAAAAACATTTCCCAATGTGTATATATCAGCTTAAAGTCGGGTTTGTGAAAAAACTGGGTGACCGGGTAACCGGGTGGCTGGGTACATAACGTTCCTAGCAGGGTTACCAACTTTCAAAGTTGCACTTTTTTCCCTAATATAGTAGCCAATCTGTTGAGCATTAGATAGACATAGCCTCCTTTAGTGCAGACTACCGTTTGATATTTAAACTTTACCAATTTTTACCAAGAACTTATAAGAGATAGAGCACTTTTAAAATAATCTGCTACTTTATCAATATCAGAAAAAACTAAATGGTTACCTGGTTACACAAGATATCCACTGAATAAAAATCAACAATAATTATCATGTAATGAACTGAATTTGCAAGTCCTAAGTAGTTATCATTTTACACTGAGTTTACGTACATGTACATTGACATTAGTTGCTTGATTCATTGTCTGAGTGATTGAGAGGATATCGAAGATTGTTTTCTACTGATGGCGATTTCTACTAGAAGATCTTATATATGCCATTTTAAACAGTCAAATAATGTACCATGTACAATACCACATTAGTTGCTTGATTTATTGCCTCCAAGTAATTGACAGAATATCGGTGTTTGTTTGTTTTGGTGGTTGGTTTATTCATGGGCATTCAATAGATATTGAAACCCCATGGTTTATTGGTAGATTAGTCAGTTGCTTGGTTGGTTGTTTGCTTGATTGGTTTTATGACTGGCATGTTGAGTCAGAGGTCAGTCGGGCGTTTTAAGGCATAAAAATGATAAAATCAAGAAATCACAATTTATAACCCTTGTAGGAACGTTAGGTACCCAGTCACCCGGTTCTTTACATAACCCGCTCGCTATAGTCTGATCTAGGACTACGCCCTAGTCTGCATGCGAAACTTTGTACACAGTTACAGCACCGATAATGGGAAGTTCTCCATATAATATACTGAATACTCCTACTGATAACAGGGGGGGGGACTTCTATTCATTGTTCACTATGAGTTACACAGTGACCCCTATTTAGAAAAAAAATAAGTCCATTTCACTGCTTCAGTTCGTCAGTAGAACGGCAAAAATAAGAAATTGGGAGACCATTGTGCAATAATATATGGAAAAGTATATTCATAATGTACATGAATGACATTTGTATATCTTGGATTGCTTCTAGTTTGGCTTATAAAGTGTGTGGCCTCTTATATTTGGATGTTTCTCTGCCATGTTATTTTCAATAAGATTAACATGGCTGAAATTCTTCAAATTACAAGACGGCACAGGCTTATTGCACAAAAAACTAAAAAATCTGAAATATACAAACGTCATTCATGTACATTATGAATATACTTTTCCATATATTATTGCACAATGGTCTCCCAATTTCTTATTTTTTCCGTTCTACTGACGAACTGAAGCAGTGAAATGAACTTTAGTCTGAATTATATTCTAGCAACTCACCAAACTCGATGCTTTTTCCACCGATCGCTGTACTTCAAGCACAACATTACCCTTCAGAATCTGAGCTTCAAAGTCAACATCAAGGGACAAGTGCAAACTCTTTACTAACGCCTCCTCGGGCCTGGAGAAGGAACAGGGATCATTTGGACTGCACCGGCTCATTTTACTTTTGAAGAGCTTTTGAAGAGTTCTCCATGACACGCCCGATACAGAATTAAGAAAGAAAACATTCAAAAGCGTGAAATATTTCTTTTATTTACGCATATCGTGTCATATATACGCAAAATGAAGGTTCTCTGATATCCTGAAAATGAATAAAGGGTGGCTTGAGCTAGAGAGTGATCCAGGTATGTTTTGTTTGAGTGCAATTGCTGTTAATCTGAGTTGAAATTCTTTTTGCCTTTCTTTTTTCATTTCTTTTTCATTTTTTACTTTAGGCCTAGCCTAGGCTTTCTCAAGGATTATATCCTAGACATCTCGATATTATGCCATCTATGGAGATGTCATGATTTAAAAATTTGAATTCAAACAGACACCGTTCACTTCATAATTTGAATCGCAGGCAGAAGCGTAGCCAGCAAATGTCTAGGGGGGTGCAATATTTGGGTTTCCATCACTCCGAGCAAAGGGAGCACCAAATACTGGAGTATAGGGTTCACCCCTACAGTGCTCAACTGACACCTGGATTTGCTAAGTGAGGATATAATTTAGCCCTTGAGGTGCAAAGACAGGCCATTCTCATCAATTTGACTTTTCTGCCACTTGCAACGTCAAAAGAATAAACTTACTTCCTAGGTTTTCTTGATAAAACGTAGCACGATCATGTGATTATTTTGTAAAATTACAAACAAAAATTACCAGATAAATCATTTAAAACTACACACCAGTGTAAAACAATAAACTTTAGACAGGGACTTCAAGAAATATGAAGCAGATTGACATGAATCCTTGAAACAATCAGATTGTGTCAGCTAGAGAGTAGAGTATGCCAGTCAAACCAGTTAACAGAAAGTTGGACTTTTTCTCATAGAATGCAAATCATGTAACAAATAATGATAGTTCCCATCACTATCTCCAAAAATAGCACAGGCTTGACTAAAATGTCGAAACTAATGATTGAATTAATGAATGTATTCACCATATTTTTTATTTCATTACAGGGCTCTTTACACTACTCCTGGAAGATTTTGGTGAGTTGGAACATACATGTATTGTTCATATTGAATTATATACGTAACTCGATAAAGTGTACTATATCTAGTATTGTATTTGACAAGGCAAACGATGTACAACAAAATATAATAGTTCTCATCGCTATCTCCAAAAATCACACAGGCTTGACTAAAATGTAGAAAGTAATAATGGATTTGGTGAAATGGAACTTTTATATATATGTAGTGTTCATATTGGATTATATACGTAACTCGATTGAGACATATCAAATACTTTGAACTGTGGAACAGAATAAACAATAAACTCTTTTATTTGAATAGGTGCCCAAGGTGTTCAGGTAGAAGAGATCTATGATTTGCAGAAACTAATTGAAGGGTGAGTCATTTATACAGTGATGTGCAGGGGTTTTCGGAAAAGACCGACCCCACCGACCACCGACCGGTCGGTGTTTTCCACTGGTAGCCTCAAAACAGGGTTTGAAGAAAATGTGTAAAAGACCGACCATATCATGTAAAAGACCGAACATATTTGTAGCCTTAGAATATTAATAATTTGATTTTGAATGTCAATCGTTGGACTAGGCAACGTTTTTTACCGATTTTGTACCTTGCAACGAATGGCAAGCAAACAAATTGGTCATGACCGTCTCCTCTCGATTAATTGCCCTGCCTTTGGTCCTAACCTATCATTAACCAACCTATCGTTTCTACGGGAATCTATCCTAATTTTTTACTGAAATTTAACAATTTCGAAACAAAAATGATTTGTTATCGTCATAGCCTACTGAATACTGAACACGATATAATGTTACATGCGTTCTCTTATCGGGATTAAAAGTGACTTACCATTTCAGTACACCATTAGAAAGCTTTTTTTAGTCATATCAAATGTAGTTTTTACCAGTTGACGTTTAACAACTGAGAAATCAAACATAACGTTACGACGTCAACATCGACGATGTTTGTGTGTTTTTGTTATTGCGTTTCATATGAATGAAGAATGAATTTAATGCAATGTTACGTGGTTTTTTCCAAAGTGACTAACCAGGATGAAATTGGTCTTCTAACAACTGAAACATCACTTAAAAATATGACATTACACACCACGACGATGTAACGTTTTCATCGTGATTTGAAATGATAATTATACGTTTTTAAATCACGACCTAGTAAAGGTACTATAGTCATTGGATTCCCAGTTTTAGTTTTACTTCTAATTTTGCATTTTTTCATCTTTATGTAAAAGACCGTCAGCCGACCACCGACCACATGTACCCAACTGTGGAGAGTGACTGGTCGGTGGTCGGCGGTCGGTGTTTTACGAAAACCCGATGTGCAGAATACAGATAATCAATGATGTTACTTTTATTGCAATTCATTGAGATAGAATGTACAGATTATCAGTATGTTTTATCATGTATAGGTTAACCTGTTGCTTTTTGCCTCATTAAGATGTCCAGAAAAAATGTTGAAAGCATAACAGAGGAAAACATCTTCACCAATATATAAAAGATTTATTGTCTTGATTCCAGGCCAGTGTATGGCTTTATCTTTCTGTTCAAATGGATAGAAGAACGTCGTTCCAGGCGGAAAGTCATCCAGGAAGCTGAAACCTTTGTTACAGATGAAGAAATTGTTAACAGCATGTTCTTTGCCCAACAGGTAATTGGAGCTATAATCTCTACAGCGAAACTAACATTCTTGAATGTCAATCTCTTGTAGATTAAGTCACAGTGTCGCTCTTTTAGTTAATATTGTCCTTTTTTGCCAAAATTTCTCTTTGCCATATAATTAGTTTTTATGCCACCACTATAAGTAGTGACATATTGTTATAGTGTCAAACTTTTTTTGGCAGCGGTTGGTGTTCACAGCTCAGTGTTAAGTATCTATAACAAATGGCAGGGGGTAACATTTTGCATGTTAATACCTTGTTGAAAATTGTTGGGTTTCTTAAAAACATGATGCTTTTTCACATTTTTTCTGTTTCTGTAAAAGTCATATCAACCCAAACTTCATGAAATTGGCAAGTTGATCTCTTTTATCAAGTATTCTTCCTCAAAGCTGTAACCAATTAATACATATCTATTTTTATTGTTTCAGTTGATCCCTAACTCTTGTGCCAGCCATGCTTTACTCAGTGTACTGCTGAACTGTGACAAACTCAAGTTAGGACCAATCCTTGAGAAACTGAAGAAATTCTCAGGACACATGTCCCCTGAGGTACACTACCCTCCAAAAGTTTGACAACTGGACGTTTTCATTGAATAACATATCAAAGCCTAACAATGTTTAAATCTTGATTTTGTTCCTTAATTGCAATAGTTCAGAAATTTAAAGTTAATCGCCAAACAAAACAGACTTTGATAAGTAATTCAAAATGGGACTTCTTGTTGCCAAAATTATTACTAGGAGTGTATTTACAAATATATATGACCATTCAGAATTTTATTGTATTTGTTCCGATTTTTTCTGAAACAGTGTAAAACATTATTAGCGTAATGCTAATGTAGAGTTTTGAAATGGGTTAATTATGTTTGTCTGGAAAAATATTTTTATTTGATTTTTTCAAGATGTTAAATAAATTAGAGTTATTTTGTCAGAAAAACTGATATAAAAATATTTATAAATGGATATTCATTATTTTAGGACAAAGGTTTTGCAATTGGTAACATGCCAGAGCTCTTCAAGGCACATAACAGTCATGCAAGGTAGGTAGATATCATCAAGAATGACTTCATAGTCAAGGAAGGTTTTTATTTTTATTTTAGTTTGTTGCCTTTTGGGGATCCAGAACTTAGTAATTTATTACTTCAAATTATATTAATAATATTTCACCATTCTCCCCTCAAATTTTACTTAGTACGAGTATAACTAAGTACAAGATAACTTATATATAAAAGCTCCTCCCCAGTTTTCCTTTAAACATCTAATTGGTGTATTTCCTTCTATATAGAAAAGATACTAGCAGTCTGACTGACAGGCAGAGAGACTTGACCCCAGGAGCAGGAAGAACCATCGGTGACGCTTTCCACTTTGTCAGCTATGTTCCCATTAATGGCAGACTCTTTGAATTGGATGGCCTCAAACCTTACCCCATAGACCATGGTCAGTTTGTATTTCTCTAGACATTAGTCTTGAATCAAGGTCTTTTGTTGCCCTTTTCACTTTTAATTTGATACAGGGGTAGGAAATAGATCGGTGATGACCAGGAACTTAATTTGTAATACTTGTACATGTATTTTCCTTCATCTACTTTTTAGTGTTATTTTAATTGAATTTGAACATGTTACACCTGACCACCCGTTATAGCTTGAGAGTACATATACCACATGAAATCATCACATGTTAGTACTATGCTACTAAATAACACCAAAAATATCTGATGCAAATAAGTGATAAAAAAAGAAATATATCCATTTAATTTTTTCTTTTTTTATTGCAGGTCCCTGGTTAGAGGGGGAGGAATGGACAGCACAGTTCACTAGAGTGATCACAGAGAGATTGGGCATGGCTACAGGAGGGTAGGTCTAATGTCACTAGTATAGGAATCCTAAATTTACGCCCATTTCTGGTTGTCAGGTACTGTTGATCTGGGTACCATTTGAATCTTTTTCATTCTTGTGGAGTTTTTATTTCACTACCCCATGTGGTGATATATTGTTATGGTCTCCAAGTTTTTTTGTGGTAGCTGTTGGTGTTCAGTGGTTGGTGTTTAGCATTTGGCATTTAGCTTTTGACATCCATAAAAATGGCAGGGGTGACATTTTGCATGTTAATGCCTTGTCATAGTAATGTATTTGTCATTATTTTTTGCTCATTTTAATTTCTGCTCCGTTTGTCAGAAATCTACATTTGCGCTGTGCTTTCAGGGAGCCCTATCATGACATCAGATTCAACCTTATGGCAGTTGTACCTGATAGGAGACGTCTTTTTGAACAGAAGCTAAGTATCCTGAAGACCAACAGACAGATCGTTCTTGAGGCACTACAACAGGTATCCCTTTATTCAGAATATTACAGGGGTATGATTCAAAATGTGGAAGGGGGGAAATTGAGATAAGAAGTGATTGGAAGAATAAGCTTGAACGTTTTTCTCATGATTGAATATTAGAAATTGGAATAAAATCAGCAAATTGATATGTTTGGCTCTGAATCACAATTTTTTAAAGGATACACATGTCATATAGTGAGATCTTGCTGTAATTGTTTTCTTGAGAAATTCTCCTCAATAATTTCCTTCAAGATTTCCTTGATTTTGAAACAACTGAAATAATTTCTCACAATTAGCAGCTGTTGGATAAAGAGGTATTAAACAATGAATGTTTTCCTTTCAAAGATTCACAAAATTAACCTAATGTCCCTGTCACTTCACATGCCCCATCACATCACACCTGTTACACCTGGAATACCACTTTGCTCATAAAATTACTGAATAAATGAAACCATTCATGCATGGCCTGAATTTAAAATTAATTATTGAAGTGATTGTAGTTGTGTGTTTTTTGAAGAATATTTATATAAATCATCCAATTATTTCATATGTCACCATCAAAAGTGGTGACATATAGTCTCCAACTCTTTTGTGGTGGTGTTCAGCATCCGGCAGTCGTCATTCATAGTTCGATGTTTGCAAGTAATGGCATCTGTAACAAATGAGATGTGGTGACATTTGGCATGTTAATGCCCTGTTTTAATTGTATGCTACTGGGTGTATAATGTACATCCCACTAGGGGACTTGGAGATGATTTACAATTGGCTTGAAGATGATTTTACCTGACACTTCTGTGTGAATCTTAAAGATTCAATCTTTTGTATCTTAGAATTTCCTATACTATACATATCTTCATTATTTGTGCTTCATACATTGACTTGGTGTCTAACAAAATAAACTTATTCTTTCAAAAACACCTAGAGAAGGTAGGTCTCCCTCTTTGTTATCTTATACTTTTATGTAATGTTTTTATGGTACCACCAAAAATAATAATGCCTTGTTGCCTTGACATGCCTAATGTCATAATGCCTTGTCCATTTGTGACTTTAGATGGTGAAAGTCTCTTCAGCTGAGCCGAAACCTGGACCCAATGTAACAACACGTAGAATGAATCGTGTAAAAGCTGCGGAAGCCTCTGTCAAAACAGAAGCTCCAGATGCGTCCGTGTCGCAGAAAAAGCACAGCAGCAACGCCCCATCCCCATGTAAACTTCCCCCAGCTTTGGACTCTCATAATTATGCAAAGAGCCCTCTAACAGATGAGCTTGCTGAGGATGGGGAATGTGATGTGCAGATTAAGCGTTCAGGATCAGATACGGAGAGTGATAATGAGGTCCAGATATTAGAACATGAGAGTGAACTTAATAAGACTATTGACCCTCCTTGTGATGAAAAAACTGAGAAAATCCAAGTTCCAAATGCAGACCAGATTAAAAATGTAAAATCAGACAAAGTGAAAATACATATTACTGTCAAAGAGGAGCTTGAAGATGGTAGCATGGTAACCATGCCAACCACCATAGCAACAACAGATGTGACTAAACCATTGACAATTCAAACAAAATTTGGGAGTACCCCTTCAAACAGTGCCCCAACTAGCACAGAAACTGCTTCTGAGACTAGCACAAGTCTCTACTCTCCTCTATGTTCAACGATACCCCAGACAAGTCCCAAGCTAGAACCCACTCTCGACTCTAAACCTGACCCTGAAACTTTGGACAATTCACAAGGGAGCGCCGACAATGATACTAGTGCTGAGGTTACCCAGATTCTTCAAGACACCTCTGAGAAACTGAAAAAGGAAGAAAGTGGTGGTGGGAGTGTTGAAAGGAGGAAGCCAAGACAAGGATTTACACCTAAGGTAATTGCAGTATAGAATTCTTCTCAGGGTCTAAAATTCATTAAATGCTTGATCATCACTACATTGTTTTGACTGTGCACATTATACATCTGGGTTTATCCCTGCCACTTATTTCCATTTATAGTTTCAACCTCATCCTCTGTTGGTCAGGAAGCCATACATAATAAAATTCAGGAACTATCCCTCGCAAATTCTCTTATTTTGAAACATGATTTTTTAATTACATGCACTCTAAATACATTTCTCATATAGAATTTGACAAACTAATGGTTTTAGCATAATTTCTTTCATTTTTACAATTAATTAATTAATTTCTCCACTTAATAAATGTTTCCACCTTATATTTTAGTATACTAGTGATCTAGTATTGCATACTATATATTTGTGTTATTGTGACTGTTGATCTCTGCATTTCTTAGTCTTTTTGGTTGTACATACTTGTCTCCCCTTCCTGCATTTACATCTTTTACAATTATCAGGAGCAGGCATAATTTGTCGATGACTGTAGAGAACATTATTTGCTACACACTCTGAAAAATATAAAGGCTTGAAAAGTTTCAGAGATAGAGCCAAATCTCACTCGTACACACACTTGCAGTCCTAGTGAACAAGCCAGAATCCAGAAGGATACACATTGATGGATTAATATTTAAATGAATTCCTCAGTAGATATATTTGTTTTGAAAGCATAAACCAGTACATGTCTATCAATTATGACTAAGATATGTTCAGTTATGACAGACATGTTTCAGACATAAAATTACAAATAGGACATCTATTTCTGTTTAGTACTGTTTGATGCAGTAACAATTGTAACTTCCTTCATCTCTGTATTATCAAAAAAACATAAAATTGCATCATTTGGAAAACTAAAACTACCAAATGAGCATATTACCATTTTACACATAGTCTTGACAATTCCAAGTATTTACCTTTTTTGGTTGCACATGTTACTCCAGCAACTGGGGCTATCCTACTTAGACACCAGCCATTACTTTCCCAATAGATAGAGCCACAACTTTCAAATGTCAACCTCTCCTCATCACAGAATATTGCAAATTGCATTATTAGATCCAGATCCCCTTTGCCAAATTCTGATTTTTTATGAAGTATAGCATTTGTGTCATCACCACCTCTGTTTCTGAATCCTAACATTTCGCAAACGATTTTAGCACTGATAGAGCTGAAGTAGGTGCCACATATTGTCCCCCATTTTCCCGCATAGTAAAGTTCCACACGACCTGATCTCTCATTTGGGCCATCGACCAATCTTGCTAAATAAAAACACAAATACATGTGAAATTTCAAAAGTTTGAAATAAGTTTATTCACAATCACTGTCAAGTCCCCACATTTTATTTTTTTCATATTCATTACTTCACACTCAAATTAGAAGTATATAAATTATTATATACTGATTCTTCTGTTTCATTATCCAAAATTCAATTGATGAAATAAGAAAATGGGGATTTGAAAAGTTCCCCAGTGTCTAACCTTTAACTGGGCTTGGATTACAGTCAATTCCAACCTGGTCTTTTTCCCGACATTTTACCCAGAAATCTGCTATCAGGTTATAATGTGGCCTTCCAAGTGTGAATCCTTTTTAATTCAAAGTTTTATTACAATAAATACAAGAACAATGTTGTATGATTTCTCTGGGTCTAGTTATTTTTGGAAATTCTGTTTACTCTAATTTTTTTTGAAAACACAAAATGTCTTTGTCATCAATACTAGCTTTTTTGGGAAATGATCTTAATAAAACATAATTATGATGTATGCAAAATAAGAAAAAATTCAATCTCACGGAATAATTGAACACTATTGATTGCAAACCTTCACATTCTGAGAGTCTTGCTTCAGTGCCACTGCAACTAACTCCTGTCAATCTCATTCTGTCTGAACTGGTACCAAAAAACCTATGGCTAGGTAACCAAACGGGTTTACTTCTATCATTGTTGGGATTAATATCAAGTTGATTACACACAACTGCAGCTGCTTGATCTGTGAACTTGTATCCACAGACTGGAGACCAAAAGCCAAATCCATATACCTCCAGTCTGCCCATTGTTGAACTGTCCCCACCTTCTAGTCTTACTACATGATAAAATTATATTCAGATTCATAAATACAATTCTTTGTTTAGAGTGGGACACGAAAGCCCCTCAGTCCATAAAAGAACAGTAATTTTTATACATATTACTTAAAACTGATAACAATTGGCTTGCTCAAAGTTGCACTTTTGCCAGATTGGGAAGTTTTCAGAATTTAATTAATGTAATGATATTATTATGTAAATATGAAATTTTGTTTTGATATACATCTAGAGAAAATAATGACTTCCAATATTAATGATGTCAATGTGTTCTGTTTGACTTATCACATAATAATGTGAAAAGAATGATATGTCGAACGTTATAATGCTTAATGCCCCTCAACAGATCAAAGAAATAAAACAAATGCATCTGACATGTAAAAAGTAAACAGTGTCAACTTGAGGAAGACAGATCATCCCACTTTTTTATGTCAATCATGTGAATTGAGTCTATAACAGGGTGACATAGTTTTATACTTTCACAATTTTTAAAAGATCCCTTTCATGAATGTTTCCACTTTTTAAAAAAAAATTAAAGCCATGTCAATCTGAACTTTTAGTAAAGTGCAGGTAAAGAATAGATTAGACAGTTTAAAATATTGAAAGTAGATTTTTAGATTACCAAATGTATAATTTAAAATTGTATTCATTTCCAAAAAATGTACACTTAACTTGCTTCTAACCTTTGTTTTCCATTCACTTACATTTGATTGGCTCCTTCTTGCATGACACGGCAAGTGCTTTATCGTGTCTACACAGCAAGTCAGTTCTGGTGTATTTGCAATCAAAAAGTGTTGATTCTGTCCCGTCACAATGTAACTCTGACATGATCAATGGAGTGATATGTTTATCAAGACACTTATTACATTTGAAGTGTTCACTTCCCTTGACATCAAAGTAATTACCTACAAAAGTATCATTTTACTTGTCATTTCTGAGAAAAATAACACTATCCTTGACATCAGAGTAATTACCAAGCTTTTGACATGACATCAAAGTAAGTAGATACATGTACTTAGAAAAGTAATCTTGACACGACATCAAAACATCAAAGTAAGTAATAACCTAGAAAAGTAACCTTGACATGACATCAAAGTAAGTAAACCCTTGACACTACATCAAAGTAAGTAAACCCTTGACATGACATCAAAGTAAGTAATAACCTAGAAAAGTAAACTTGACATGACATCAAAGTATTTATTAATTACCTAGAAAGGTAACCTTTGACACAACATCAAAGTAAGTAATAACCTAGAAAAGTAACCATGACATCGAAGTCATTACCTCGAAGGATAAGACTTCCCTTTACATCAAACTACACCCCAATCTGTATCATAATCAAAAAGCATTGTTTAATAGTGCTATATAGCATGCATTGTTTTGGAACAAATAAGTTCTGTTAAGAAAACAAAACATTACTGTTTGAGATTGACGATTTAATTTTCTAGGATTGTTTCATTTTCTTTGTAAAAATAATTACATTTACCTCGAAAAATATGTTTCAATAACTTACCATATAGTATAGTTGCATCTTCTGGGTTGTATCCTAGCTGACCGCATATCACCTTTAATATAATGCACCATCCAATTTAAAGCACAATTTTTTTTTTTTAATTCTTACCCCTTCCCACATGAGGGGTCTCACACAATGATCGATGCATAGAAAGCCATGTACATGTACATGTATAATATGTAAATGTGTTATTTTTGTGATTGTTATACTTAATGATTTGGTTGAAATGGTTTTTATCAGGGTTTTATGGATTTCTTAGATCATTTATTGTGTTGGTATTGTTCAAATTTTGATTGTTACCCCTTGTCTGGTTATTTATATGAATGAAATCTCAATGTGAGGATTGTATAGAGATGATTATAAAACATATTTAAATGTCAAGAACTGGTTCTTTGAAAAATATTACCTTTGCTACATTATTCAGACGTTCTTTGTCAAATGGACCATCCCTTTTCTGAAATGGGTTACACATGTAGCCCCAATCTCCAAAACCTTCAACCTCCACATTGCCCTCCCAGTCACCCCTTCCTCCTAGCAGTCGCACTGCAACAATAAATACATTTCAATTAAATAAATAGAAACATGTTATATTTATTCATATACATACACAGTAGTTCAATATCAGTAGGATTACTAGATATACTGTATTATATTGTAGTCTATTTTCACAACATTGTTTTGAAAATAACCTATGACCAATAGCCCTTGTTTTTTGATGCATTTTTGGGTGAGATAAAGTACTGTATGGTTCATGTATTTTGCTTGAGATACTGTCAAGAATATTTTCTTTACCTTTTGGTGAAGTTGGTGCACACCATATTGAGGATGCCAAGAAGTCTATACACGACATTGATTGAAATGTTGAATTTTTGCTCCCCCATCCTGAATTTGGACATTCACCAATTGTTGATTCGTTGCCATAGCAATTGACAAACTCAAGAACAAAGTATCCTGATTTTTCAGCCTCATTGTTATCAAATAGTTGCCTAGATACAGGCATGGGATAGGCATCATCAAAGCCTAGTTGTGAACATATAACTGCGGCATCCATGTTTGAGTCGATTGCGTCCCCACATAATCTCCCCCAGGCCCCATCATGGTACACTTCAATAATCCCAGATATTGCATCACCTCCAACTAAACGAACTGAAAAAGATGCCTCAATGTAACTTTTTATCAAAACCCGCATTTTACCCATTCAAATCGTGTCATTGCATTTCATTTTCTCAGAGTGAAAACATTTTTTGGTATACATATTTTCAAAGATCATTATAAATAATTACTATATTATACTATATATTATTATATTATAAATAAAAACTTTATAGAAATAATTGATAGACAAGTTAGGAATTTCCACTTACCAGCTTTAGTTTCCTCCAAAGCAAATGTTAAGATACATGAACAATATATGCAATAAGCAAAAACCCAACATTTTGCATCCAGAAACATTTCAGGGTATTCTTGATTGAAGTTGTGTGATTTTTCACACCTTGTAGGTATTTTAATATTTTATATAATTGATGTCTTTGTTCAAATATAACTGAAGATGATTTATTATATGTTTATACAAATAAAATTCCTAATATTGATAATGTCCCCTGCATTAATGGTCATATAGATTAAATGTTTCAGCATCAATTTTTTTCTTTTACATGTCATATTACAATGTATAGTACCTATATGGTTAGTAGCATTCCTTTCAATAGAAAAAATAGGATACAATATCTTAACTGATCTAACTTGATATAAGTAACATTACATATACATTTACTCAGAAAATGACATAATTTACGATTGGTCAAAGTTTATTTTGATAAGAAGATGTGAATTTGTTGCATATCCCTTTGTTAATAAGTAATGTTTTGCAGCCTTGTAATACATTTTAAAAATCACTAAAATAAAATATCTTAAAATAATTTATATACAGAGAAATGACCTAATGACATTTAATAGAAGTGAAGCGTATGAATAAATAAAAAAATGTATTTTTATATAACTTCAGGATCTACTGGCATTACTGAAGAATGTAGAGAATGAAATACTACAATGTGAGAACAATCTGAGAGATGAGGTAGAGAAGAGGAATAAGTACAAGGTAAGAAGAATTTGGATTTAATTTCATGTTGTTATGTCCCCTACTGACATGGTGTGGGGCCATACTGTCTGTCTGTCTGTTTTGTTGCTGTATATGTCTAACAGCCTTCAGCATCAATTTTTATCATTATTTCTCCTTACATATCACATTATAGCACCTATATGGGTAGTCGCATTCCTATTCATAGAAAAATGCCTAATAGTGAGGTATTAAGAATTAACTCCAGATATAAGTGAAGTAGGTATAAACAATTTCAACGACCCTAGTTAAGAATAATATCAATAACATATTCTTAATCTGCCCCATCTTCGTCTTTCTGTTACTCTTCACATCTTTCTGTTTTTTCGACTGGTCTTGCATCAAGATTGTGTACCTAGCCCCATCCCACTCTCTTCCTCACAGTATAAAGAATAAGGGTACAGGATCTTGGTAGAAAACTTTTCTTCAAAAAGAAAACTTAAGTCAGTTGCTTCAAGAAGGCTTACACTATCTACTTCAACAAGGGGGTGTTGTAATCCACTGGTTACAAGACCCTTTGGTTGAAATAAGAAAGAGAGGGTCTTGAAGCAAGACTATCAAAACTCAGAAGAAATTGAATGACATACCGGTAGGTATTTTTCAACAAGATATATGATCTCAAAACTGAGGAGAAATGAGATAACATGCTTTAATATGGTGTATCTTTGTGCTTTTTTCAGATTGATGACTGTAGGAGGACGCATAACTATGACCAGTTCATATGTACATTCCTCTCTATGCTGGCTGAGCAGGGCCACTTGGCTAATCTTGTAGAGGAACACATGTCCGTGTCTAAGAGACGCTCAGGCAATGGACTCTCAAGGACTAGCCAATCTAGAAAACCTGATAAAAGATCTCGGAAAACTAAGACAAAGAAACGAAGATAGCGTGAACTGAAATGTGAATTTACGTAGATGAAACATGTACAGGGTGTCAAATGGCGTTGTGCCCCCCTTCCACAGCATAAACTTAGAAAGGTACCTACACATTATGTATGTCATTGGAAAGAGCATTCAATTCTGGATAAAATAAACCCTAGATGACCTAGGTCAGATATTGCTACATAGTGTCACATGCATTTGAAATGTACTAGTGTAGTGCTCTATTTCATTGATTTTTGAGAATCTGGCATAGACTTTTTTGGTATTGATGAATACCCGAGCAACAGCCCTGACCTGAATGCTGCAGAGCACATGGGGTCCATATTAATGGATAAAACAGAGCAACTTATGGACACTGAAGCTGCAGAGAACAGATATTCCAAAGATGCCCTGCTCAAGAACTTCCGAAAAGTATTAAAATCTCTTGAGAAAGACACAGCCCTTTTCCATTCCCTTTAAGCTTCATATCCGGCTAGATTGGTAGCGGTTAAGGCTGCCCAAGGGGGTCATACTCACTTTTAAAAGTAAGTTAAAAATATATCTTATTTTCCATCATGCATCTTCATCTTTTCACATGTTAACAACAATTAAATGCTCTTTCCAATGGTATATGGTATGTGTGTGTATCTTTCCTAGTTTATGCCATGGAGGGGGGGCACAACACCATTTGACACCCTGTACATGTAATCTTATTGAATACATATTAGTGTTTCTAATATTTTAGACAGCCATATGCATCTGCAATATTTTCTTGGCAGTAGAAATAAATGATGATGATTATTTAGTGAATCATCTAGATATAAGAAATCATGATTGCAGTGGCGGAATGATTTTCCAACCTTGTCATGAAATATATTTCTGTGTAGATTCATCTCTCTTGTAATATATTAAATAACTCATGTACTTCATAGAATAATGATTTATTTATGACTTTTCGCCAGTTATCCTACCAGTCTTATCAAGATTACGTTACGTTACAATAGAGATGATTCATAGAAATCAGTGTTACTATGGAATCTCAGTGAGCCCTTTTCAGTACTGTAACGACATGCAAAATGCTCAAACACTTTCACATTATGAACATGTCTTTGTAAACGGACCACAATAATTTAGTGATGAAATATATTTATTGTATTTGTAAGCTTGTTTTTATATTGTTGAAATAGGGCCTAGTTTAAAGTCAACATTACAGAGTCACAACAGAATTTAATATGAATATGTGATAGCTTATAGATACTTTATTCTGTGTGATAATGTACTAGCATAAAAATAAATAAATTATTAAAAGTATCTATTATCTATTGCATTTATATTACATACAGTACTATAAATATATTATATATAATATTAGAAAATCCATAGTTCAGTCAAAGAAAAACTCATTTAAATAATGGGTCTAATGAACTTCACATGGCCACAATTTAGGCTGATCATCTTCGTAATTTCCCTCCTTAGTTTCTCACAGATCATCAAATAGATGAAATGTATGGCAAAATGTTATTATTATGTCACCACCAAAAGTGGTGACATATTGTTATGGTCTCCGTTTTTTTGCGACGGCGGTTGGTGGTTGGCGGTTGGTGGTTGGCGGTTGGTGGTTGGAGGTTGGCGTCCGGCGTCTGTAACAATTTCTTACAACTTCCTATAACTTAACAAATACTGTTTAGACTGACTTCAATTTTTTTCTAAATCATCTACATGTTCTCAGAAGTTCAAATCTGACTTTAGATTTGACATTTGACCTTCAATGACCTTCTCAAGGTCAAAAAGGTCTTTTTTCAACTTGCTTCACATTGACTAAATTTTTTTTCAAAATCATCTACATGTTCTCAGAAATTCAAATCTGACTTTAGATTTGACTTTAGATTTGACATTTGACCTTCAAATCTGACTTTAGATTTGACATTTGACCTTCAATGACCTTCTCAAGGTCCAAAAAGGTCTGTTTTCAACTTGCTTCAAATTGACTAAAAATTTTTTTCAAAATCATCTACGTGTTCTCAGAAATTCAAATCTGACTTAAGATTTGACATTTGACCTTCTCAAGGTCAAAAAAGGTCAAAAAGGTCTGTTTTCAACTTGCTTCAAATTGACTAAAAAAAAATTTCAAAATCATCTACGCTTTCTCAGAAATTCAAATCTGACTTTAGATTTGACATTTGACCTTCAATGACCTTCTCAAAGTCAAAAAAGGTCAAAAAGGTCTTTTTTCAACTTGCTTCAAATTGACTAAATTTTTTTTCAAAATCATCTACATGTTCTCAGAAATTCAAATCTGACTTTAGATTTGACATTTGGCCTTCAATGACCTTCTCAATGTCAAAAAAGGTCAAAAAGGTATTTTTTCATCTTGCTTCAAATTGACTAAAATTTTTGACCTTCAATGACCTTCTCAAAGTCAAAAAAGGTCAAAAAGGTCTTTTTTCAACTTGCTTCAAATTGACTAAATTTTTTTTTCAAAATCATCTACATGTTCTCAGAAATTCAAATCTGACTTTAGATTTGACATTTGACCTTCAATGACCTTCTCAATGTCAAATAAGGTCAAAAAGGTATTTTTTCATCTTGCTTCAAATTGACGAAAAAAATTTTTCAAAATCATCTACATGTTCTCAGAAATTCAAATATGACTTTAGATTTGACATTTGACCTTCAATGACCTTCTCAAGGTCAAAAAAGGTCAAAAAGGTCTTTTTCAACTTGCTTCAAATTGACTAATTTTTCAAAATCATCTACATGTTCTCAGAAATTCAAATCTGACTTTAGATTTGACATTGGACCTTTAATGACCTTCTCAAGGTCAAAAAGGTCTGTTTTCAACTTGCTTCAAATTGACTAAAAAAATTTTTCAAAATCATCTACGCTTTCTCAGAAATTCAAATCTGACTTAAGATTTGACATTTGACCTTCAATGACCTTCTCAAAGTCAAAAAAGGTCAAAAAGGTCTCTTTTCAACTTGCTTCAAATTTACTAAATTTTTTTTCAAAATCATCTACATGTTCACAGAAATTCAAATCTGACTTTAGATTTGACATTTGACCTTCAATGACCTTCTCAAAGTCAAAAAAGGTCAAAAAGGTCTTTTTTCAACTTGCTTCAAATTGACTAAATTTTTTTTCAAAATCATCTACATGTTCTCAGAAATTCAAATCTGACTTTAGATTTGACATTTGACCTTCAATGACCTTCTCAATGTCAAAAAAGGTCAAAAAGGTATTTTTTCATCTTGCTTCAAATTGACTAAAAAAAATTTTCAAAATCATTCAAATTGACTAATTTTTTTTTCAAAATCATCTACATGTTCTCAGAAATTCAAATCTGACTTTAGATTTGACATTTGACCTTTAATGACCTTCTCAAGGTCAAAAAAGGTCAAAAAGGTCTGTTTTCAACTTGCTTCAAATTGACCAAATTTTTTTTTCAAAATCATCTACATCTTTTCAGAAGTTCAAATTTGACTTTACAAGTTCTCAGAAGTTCAAATCTGACTTTAGATTTGACCTTTGACCTTCAATGACCTTCTCAAGGTCAAAAGGTATTTTCCAACTTGCTTTAAATTGACCAAATTGTTTTAGGTGGTGACATTTTGTCATGTTAATGCCTTGTTTTTATCACTGAAATCTCTTTCCAAAATGAAAAAATTTGTTTGTATTTCAATATGTCTTGTATTTATTTTAAATAATATCTCATTTTAAATGTACACGCTCAGAAAAATCTAATCCGAATGCATGACTTGCAAAAAAGTGTTCAGATTTGCAAGTGTTCACATTTGAAGGTTTCTTAATATGAGACTCAATGAGACAACAACATTACATGTACATAATATGTATGAGTATACATGTATCTCCTTTATATAAAGGGCAATATGCATACATAGTTCATACACTGGGATCAAGAGAACGATCACATTGAGAAGTTCATATTTAGATTAGAGAGGTGTTCAGATATACAGGTTTCACTGTACATCTCTTAAAGTGGCACCAAACGATATAGACTCGAAAATATTGGAAGCAATCGTTTCAATGTAAACATGGATGTGATGTGTCTCATGTCTTTACTTTTTGTGGCCCCTTTAAACCAATCAAACATATTTCTTCAATTTACGTATGTCTCCCTTTAAAAATTAAAACATGGGAATAACAACATTAATCAAAGTGACTAAGAATATGCATGCAGTAGCTCGATTATTCCACCTATCCAAGTTTTTATGTTGACACTTATTTTTTATATCCCCCTTGCCGAGGTAGACCAGAATAATTCCTATGATCACTTGTAGAATCAATGAGAGACTGATCAGTGTTAGGTGAGCGTAATAGAATCGTTGCTTCTCTCCGAGTAGTAGAGACTTCAGTTGTGACACATTTGCAGTGAGGAGAGCGCCATCTAACATACCCTCAGAAATGGTTTTCTTCATGGTGTGCATGTTCACCTCAATCTCATCTTCATCTTCCTGTCAATTAGTCAACATATACAGTTTATGGGTGTGTTAAGAATGAATGTATTTTACCGAATCCATTTCTGAATGACCTGATATTGAGGCAATATGATATATTATCCCATAGTTGAGGTCAAATATGTAGAATAACATGTATATAAGGGTTATGTACTGGGAGGTTTTGGATATGGGGTTTATCTAAAGGGAGATATGCATATCTACCTGAGGGACCATAGGGACCGAAGGTTGATGTGCATATCTCATGAGGGATGAACCCAATATCCAAACCGACCGTACATAACTGCTTTATCCTATACCAAGTAGAGTTTTCAGGGGCAAATGGCCATTTCAATAGTACAAGGTGTAAAAATAAACAAATCATTCATATGCAAAGTCATTTTATTGCATTTCCACTACTTACCGGAAGCGGGAAGATATGCACCGAAGCAGGAAGATATGCACCGAAGCAGGAAGATATGGAGGTTCTGGATATGGAAACCTCAAAATCAGGATACGGGATATATCTTATCAACTTATCTCCCTAAAACTCTACTTGGCATTGGATAAATATATATGTATATTTATGTTATTTTGCACAGCGTGAAAAAAAGTGATATCTGTGGAATACGGAGAATATTCCACAGATATCACTTTTTCCACGGATTTGAAAACTCCCGCCAATGTGACGTGCATTGTTAAATGGTTACATGTTGTATGCTTACTTGGTGATTTCACAATGTCACAAATATGGAAATGATTAATGCTTTGGCTATAGTTCAAATGACAAAATTAAACTGAACGTTGTTGTGAAATGCTTTCTAAGGTGAGCTATGGGATTATTTGACCTCAACTATGGGATAAAAAGAACATCCTATGATTTTATTCGTGATATCATTTTAATCCACTCATTGATATCAATATCTGCACTCATTCGCTACGCTCACTCGTCCAGATATTGATTTCAACTCGTGGATAAAAATGATATCTCTCAAAATCATAGAATATCCTATATTTATTCCATAATACTACTGTTTTCCCAGGGAAATATGAAGGAATAAAAATCGTATTGAATCGTATTACATGAAAAAATCGTATTGTCCCCGGGAAAAAAATCGTATTGGAGCGTATTACATGGAAAAATCGTATTGTCCCCGGGACAAAAATCGTATTGGAACGTATTAACCTATTTTTGGTTTTCCCGGTTATTTTTAACCTTGACTAATTGATAAAAGCATTATCCAAATGTAACATTTTAAGGAGGAATGTATTATGGAATAAATAGGTTATTTCTGGTCGGGATTGAATATGGGTTTTATAAAACCCATATTCAATCCCTCCCAGTAAATAACCTATATATACACAATTCCTTCATTACCATTATACAATACAAAATTTAAGGCTTATATAAGATTTCATCTTGAGCATGTACATGTACCTGTATTGTAATTGTTTTTGATTAGACTAACCAATTCTCCTTGTTCATTATGTAGAGGGATTATCAATGGGAGATTGCAGAAGATTACACTTAAAATTTGATGATTTTGGGCTTCCTATTCAGTGAATATGATATATCTAACAAACAAAAAAGTGGCAAAAGCAAGTCTGCCAATTAATCTGTATAGCTATAGCTACTTTATCTAAGGACCTCATTTCATTGACAACAACGCCCAGGAATATGTATTTTTGATGTACAAACAATGTATGAACACACAAAAATTGACCATCTCACCTGCTGGTCACAAGGAAGAGGTGTTGGTCCGTTTTGCTTTGTAGTTAGTTGTGTTTCCTCGTTTGCCCCGTATTCTGACATAGTTTGTATTAAATATCAAACTGAATTTGTGTGCTGTTGTTTACAATTATAAATTGACCTTCAATCAGTAAATCAGCATCCATAAAAGGCTAGTGATATATTACATTAGAGGCAATCAATCACAGTATTTAATATAATATGCATTCTTTATTGTATAACTCAATGGATGACAAATTAATAACCCTCATCAATTTCTTAATTTTAATTTTCAAGATCGCTGTTCAGTTCACTTCCTTGCCAATTTATTATCCACACATTATTATTTCCTTTCTAAAATAGTTTTTGAGAATATGCACTTTCGGAACATTCCTCTTGAAACTAGATAAAAATACCAGATATTAAATGGCATTTTAAAAAATACATTTATTAATCTTTACTACAAAAAAAAGACTTTAGCTTCACTGGAGTATATCACACCCCACTGAATAAGGCTAAGTACAATAAACTCCATTATTTGAAGTACCAGTGTAATGGAATCAATCTTTAATATGCACGCCTTTGTGATGTGTCTCATGCCTCTATTCTTTGATCCCCCTTTAATTGTTTTCATGTGTATCTTTAATGTGGAAATGTCTCTCCTTGGAGATTAAACACAGAGATGATAATGTTAACCACGGTAACGAGGAACACAAAAGCAGTGGCTCGATTATTCCACCTGTCCAAGCTTTCTTGTTGTTTCTTATTATTGATATCCCCTTTGCCGATGTAGAGCAGTACAATTCCGGTCATAACCTGCAGAGCCAATGAGAGACTGATCATTGCAAGGAGAACATAGTAGAATCGATGCTTCCCTCCAAGAAGTAGAGACTTTAGTTGTGATGCATTCGCCATGATGAGAGCGCCATCTAACATACCTTGAGAGATGGTTTTCTTGATGGTGTACATGTTCATCTCTATCGGTTCATCTTTCTTTTCCTGTTAACATTGTCAAAAGATGCAAGTTATGCATGTTAAGGTTCAGCTAGAAAATAACATTTTGGGAAAAAATTGCTATACCTGCACATGTTATTTTCTGGTACAAAGTAAGGTATGAAGGCATGTGTTAATTTCCTTGCTTTTTTCAGAAAAGTATCATTACATTGTCTTCTTTTAGTAAATCTGCTAAGAGTTCAATGGGAACACCAGGGAATTATGATATTTCATGCTTTCTATTTTTCCAAATTTTCTTTTGAAGATTCCAGACAACACAGAAGATACCATTGACCTGTTTCAAGGTTTACTAAAAGTAGACAATGTAATAATACTTTCCTAAAAAAAGGAAGGAAATACACACATGCTGCCTTCATACTTAATTTTGTACCAGAAAATAACATGTGCAGGTATAGCAATTTTTCCCAAAATGTTATTTTCCAGCTGTACCTTTAAATTAAAAAGTGCCTACTTTCTTCACTCATGGTAAATATTCACAATATTCAAAATTATAGTTATATCCAAGAATAGATATATGGTACATGCATACCAGCAAAATATGGGATATGTGCTTCTCAGTAAAAATATTTAGTTTGCATTTTTAATTTTAGATTCATTTTGTGTACATGATCATGTGAATAGAATCTATTTTGCCTAATTTTATGTAAACTGAGATTTTCAGACATCTCATAGATAGGCAATATGTTAATTACCATGCAATAAATAATTTTAGACTTTTTTATCAATTGACTGATATATATATAACGGTCCCCCGTGATAGTAAAATATATCAATCCCTCTCTCTGAAAACCTATGAATTAGGACCCCATCTTGTCACTTTTTTAAAAATGTAAGGCTTATTTTCTAAAAAGAGGATCTTGTTTTTCTCAATTTAAATGTCTCAAAAGTTTCTTCTACACTATATTAATAACTTCTGAAAAGGAGATGGGTATTGAAATGCAATAAAGTTAAAAACCACATTTCCCATGTTATTTTCCCATAGGGAAAACTCATGCTATCCATTGTTTTCAGCATGATTTTGGTCATCGAAAATTGATATCTTCAAAACTAGACTTTCAATACCATTCTACTTTTGAAGATGTTTTAGACCCCTTGTTGAATAATGTTTTCATGCAATAAAAATCAGAAAAAGAAGATCCTCTTTTGAGCAAATAAGTTCAACGTTTTGAAAAGATTGTTGTGGGGTTGAAGTGGGGTCCCTATTTATAATTTTTCGAATTGTTCGATTGATATTTTTATCATCATGGAGACTTCTCTTGAAAGAAAACATATTGTTTTAATAAAAACCACTGTATTTATGCCCAGAGAGTATACTCATAGTGAAAGATTTGACCATCTAAAATCACTTGCCATACTGCACATGGACCTTTGTCATAAGTTTGAATTGAATCAACTACCAGGATGTTCATCTCAAATGCATATTGTCATTTTGTCTCCATTAGACAAGAACGATGGAATAGATTATATTCTAGTTCTCCAAACAACAAACAAATTGAGCATCTTACCTGCTCATCAAGAAATGATGTTGATCCCTTGAAATGCTTTTTAGTAAGCTGTGTTTCCTCATTCATTTCGTATTCTGTCATAGTTTGCGTTATTATTAGAGTGAGTTAGTGTGCTGTTTACAATTATAAAGTGTTATTCAATCAGTTCTTTTGATGGAGACTCTATAGAGATTTAAATGATGAATGTCCATGATTTAAACAAAACTTAAACTATGATGATCCTATTGAGCTTATTCAAACTTATATAAGATTATACAAAATACCATGTGTAAAGTAATTTCAATCTGCCCAATCTAGAATGGAGAAAATTGTCTCTTAATTATAGTGTGATTATTGAACAGTTATATGGAAAATTGTAAAAAATGTATCTGTAGTACCAAGGAGGCTATAGCATTGCCAGGGTATAGCACAACCCTCTGAATGAATAAAACAACAAACTCAATACAATATTGTGAACTTCGATGGCTTCACTGTTCAATATGAGAATGCTAAATCATCTTTACAATCAGAAAGTGCAATGGCCAATATTTAAGTGAAGACAAACCTGTTTTTGACTCATAAAAGCATCTTTCAAAATTGGTCATGTTGCATGATAAATGCATGTACAGTACAACCTGTTTAAGTGGAACACCTTTGACACCCCTTAAGTGTTCCTCACACCTCTAAAGTGTTCCACTTAGGAGGTGTTCCACTTAAAGAGGTTTATTTAATATGAAGTCAGTTGCATGGACTTGGACTGAAAAGTGTTCCACTAACAGATGTGTTCCATTTTACAGGTTTCACTGTAATATCAAATGAATCTACAAAATGATACTAAGAAGGATAACCAGTATCCAAATATTTAACACATATTCTCATTTTTTTCAGCCAGTTTTTCGGGTGCCTAGAAATCTAAAATAACCATCTAAGAGATTTTAGAGATCTCTTCAAGGTTAGCTAATGTAGATTTTTCAGATGATAACCATGCACTTGTAATTGAAAATATACTTTATAAACAAATGGTGAATCCCAAAGATTTCCCTTTTCCCTACTGTCCAAAGCATCATCAATGATAACACATCCAGTGGTGTTGAGTAATTGAATCAAATCAACTACATTCAACAATTCTCATTTTAGGCTTATCAGAAGATCCTCTTGCCTTGTCAAGCTTTTCTTTGTATGATTTGCTGTGTTATGTATGAAGAATGAATAAATGAATTTAAAAAAAATCAATGATAACACAATGAAAAACATGGTATTTTGTTGACAGACAATCACCATTGATAAAGAACTTGAAAATAAATTCCAACATATATCCCGATCAAGTTTCATATGGTGGGATAAAACATTGGTAGTATTAGTTTACGAGATATATGGGTTTCTAATTAGTTATTTCCTTTTAGCTTCTAAATGAGCCCATTATACTAAATAGTATATAATTGTGGTATAAATGCTAGAGATGAACATCCAATTATTGGTGAAAATGGCAATAGTTCTGCAATAGACTGGTCTTGGAGAATTTAATGAAAAAGTCAATATGGAAAATCAGAAGAATAAAAAAATTAAAAAAAATATCCAGAAGATGCAAAAAGTCAGGAGATATGATTTCATGCTCTTTCCACAATTTTCATCATTGTTTATCCCATGACTGTGTTGTGTTATTTGTGTGATAGCAACCAGTGATATTTCTGAGGGACTGCACTTGTACTGTTTATCAGCTTATCAGTTTATCAAATGCATAGTAAATGAATTTCGAGAAAGGTCCATGTGCAGTATGGCAAGTGATTTTAGACAGTCATATATTTTACCATGAGTACTTTCTGGGCATAAAAACAGTGGTTTTTATTAAAGCAATATGTTTTCCTTCAAGTGAAGTACCCATGATGATAAAATATCAATCGAACAATTCAAAAAATTATGAATAGGGACCCCATGTCAACATTTTTTTCAAAATGTTGGACCTATTTACTCAAAAGAGGATCTTCTTTTTCTGATATTTATTGCATGAAAAGACTATTCAACAAGGGGTCTAAAACTTCTTCAAAAGTAGAATGGTATTGAAAGTCTAGTTTTGAAGATATCAATTTTCAATGACCAAAATTATGCTGAAAACAATGGATAGCACAAGTTTTCCCAATGGGATAATATCATGGGATATGTGGTTTTTAACTTAAACGGATTTCAATACCCATCGCCTTTTCAGAAATTCAGAAATTCAGAATATAGTGAAGAAGAAACTTTTGATATGTTTAAATTGAGAAAAACAAGATCCTCTCTTTAGAAAATAAGCCTAACATTTTTTAAAAAGTGCCTAAACCATAATTTTACAGAAAGTTGGATTGATATTTACTATATTTGGGACTTCACTTGAAAGAAAACATATTGTTTTAATAAAATTAATACCACTGTATTTATGGCCAGAAAGTACTCAAGGTGAAAGATATGACCATCTAAAATTACTTGCCATACTGCACATGGACCTTTGTTTTTCAAAGGTCAAATAATTTATTCTGTTGAATAATAAGGCCTCAGACATTAAGCCACTCAGTTCTTTCATTCTTCCCACGAGACAATTATCAACACATTTCATTTGTGTTTTTCAGATTTTATTCTATTTAAATACACTATAACATCTTTTTCCTCTATTATTTATACATATATTTGAATATATGTTATGTACTCTCATTATTTGCATATGCAATTCTGTATATATTTGTCTAATTTATATAGCAATAACCTCATTTCAAAGGGCAACATAGTGAAAAGATGTTACTATGTCAGTATGTTGCCCGTTCTAAACTTGTATTAATACCTTGAGAACAGGCCTTGCAAGGTGGTTTTGGATTGCTATTGGATTCTACACTGCCTACAAGTCAGGTACAAGAATTGAATTTTCTTCTCAATGCAAAGAGTTAACAAGCCATTAACATCAGTACCAAATGTCACCACCTACCATTTGTTAAATATGCCAAACACCAACCCCCAAACACCAACTGGCAAACACCAATCACCATCCACAAAAAAATTGGAGACTATAACAATATGTCACCACTTGTGGTCTTGGCATAAACATTTTGCACAAACAGTTCAGTATATCATACCATAACTTGACTGTCATATATAAAACAGGATTTATGTTGCACACTTCAATCTTCATTGCACAATGCTGTTAAACACCAATATAAAATTCCACTACAAGATATATTTTTTCAAAAATATGATTAAGGCACATAGCAAAATGAGTTAAATGTTTTGCATAATGTACACCATGTACAATTTGTGACTAATATGGCATTGTGACAGAGAGTGAATAAAAGATATATATGTACAACATATATCAAATTACATTGAAAATATTGCAAAAAAATTGCAATATGTACATATATCAAACTACATGTACATGTTACTCATATGGTGATTGTAATATGCAAATTACAGCAGTATTTTTGCACAAACATATTCTAGATTGTAGATTACTATAAAAATAAATATTTACACAAATCTAGGAGGAAAAACTTCCTTTATCCTAGTGTAAAAAGTGTATGGAGATTTTTCTGTGAATTTAAAATTTGCTCTGGCAGCTTCACTGATACAACATTTATCATGTAAAATTGTTAAATACAATTTTCAATTCAAAGGTATAGACAGAAAATAAAATATGCATTCTGATGAATACTTCATTTTACGTTATACCTGAAACATGTTTTATCATTTATATGTTATGATTGGTTCTGTTATTGAAGCAAATCTTTACAAATTACATAAAATCCAATAGATGTCACTATTTGCTGAAATTGTCTATTATCTCCAAAGTCCATGATAGAAAGGCTAAACCATAATATTGCATGTCCTATAAGTCTACGTTATTGTGTTATATTTTTATACTATTTGTATGTGTCATTTATTATTTTTGGAAAATCTTGAAGACAAAGTGTGACCACTTGTAATACAAAATACAAACAAAAACTTGTAATACATAATACAAACAAAAAGCTATTTCTTTAAACTAGCAATAACTTAATTTTTGATTTCCTCTTCTGGGTTAATAAAATCAGCCAATTCTTGTTAACAATTCCATCATTATAGGTGAATTTTAAGTAGAGGAATACTTCGTATTATTAGCCATCCAAAATTGAATACATGTAAACTGATTCAAAGATGGTGATCTGATAGGCCCATGTGCTATAAATACATTCTGACACCATTCATATCACATGCTTTGTCATATGTGAACATCATATATGCCCAATACAATTTGATAAAAACATTATTCAATGACTTCTTAAAAAATGCAGAAAGTCAAGACTGGAATATACAAGAACACAAATGTGTACAAAATGTCCCCACCTATGGGTGATCCTGTCAAATGGTTATCCTAAAAATGAGTAGACAAGACTTTACCGACACAATTTGATGACGGAAAATCCAAAATGGCCACCTTAAAATTTACCTAGAATGCCAAAAAACTAATCAGATCTAGATTTTCATACTAAGAATCATCCCTGAAAATTTGAAATTGATCTACAAAACGGTTCACCTAAAAACGCGTAGACAAGACTTCACGGGCAGGATTTTAAGACGGAAAATCCAAAATGGCTGCCTTGGCATTTATCCAGAATGCCAAAAAACTAATCAGATCTAGATTTTCATACTAAGAATCATCCCTGAAAATTTGAAATTGATCTACAAAACGGTTCACCTAAAAACGCATAGACAAGACTTTATGGGCAGGATTTTAAGACGGAAAATCCAAAATGGCTGCCTTGACATTTATCCAGAATGCCAAAAAACTGATCAGATCTAGATTTTCATATTAAGAATCATCCCTGAAAATTTGAAATTGATCTACCAAACGGTTCACCGGGAAATGCGTAGACAAAACTCTACAGACAAGATTTTAGGACGGAAAATCCAAAATGGCTGCCTTGGCATTTACCGAGAATGCCCAAATACTAATCAGATCTAGATTTTCATACTAAGAATCATCCCTGAAAATTTGAAATTGATCTACAGAACTGTTCACCTGGAAATGCGTAGACAAGACTTTACAGACAATATTTTAGGACGGAAAATCCAAAATGGCTGCCTTGACAATTACCCAGAATGCCAAAAAACTAATCAGTTGTACATTTTCATATTAAGGATCATCCCTGAAAAATTGAAATTGATCTACCAAACAGTTCACCTGAAAACGCGTAGACAAGACTTTACAGACAAGATTTTAGGACGGAAAATCCAAAATGGCTGCCTTGACATTTACCCAGAATGCCAAAAAAACTAATCAGATCTAGATTTTTATACTAAGAATCATCCCTGAAAATCAAGAATTGATCCACCAAACGGTTCACCTGAAAACACGTAGACAAGACTCCACAGACAAGATTTTAGGACGGAAAAATCCAAAATGGCTGACAATAAAAAAGTGATCATGAGTTTTTGCTGATTTCTTTTTACAAAATTATCACATATAAATACTGTTAACAACAACATAGGCTTTAACAACAAAGTACATCTGAAATTATTTATAAAGCTACTAAATAGTTAGAATATGAAAACTCAAAAACACCATTCAATATGATACAAAGTATTATCGTGCGCTAACTTTTCTTAAGACATTCAAAATGGCTGACATGACTGAGCTAAGAGGTCCAAAACCTAATCAGATCTAGAATGAAGTGAGCTGAACAAGATGTTAAAGTTTTAAAAGCAACTGTGAAGCCGTTTTTCTTAAAGTTTGCAGACAAGGATTTTAGCATTTGACTTCAAAATGGCCGACAGGAAGTAGGTATCGAGTTAATTTTTTTCATCCACATCTGTATGCACTCATAAGTTATCCCTGAAAATTTGAAGGTGATATCTGTAGCGGTTTTGGAGAAAACTCCCGGACGTACGGACGGACAGACGGACGAACGGACGGACGGACAGACGGACGGACGGACGGACGCGCCTAGGCCGACAATATGGCCCCACACTATGTGGTGGGGACATAATAAATGGAACATATGGAATGTATAAACATTGGAAATAGCATAGTAACCAATGTAAAAATATACTGTTGGCCATTATGCAACTCACAATAATAATGCAGTTGTAAAAGTATATATAAATTATGTATATAATGCGATAGAAGGCCCTAACAATTTGCTTTGTAAGAAACACTGTTTGGTATCATTCTGATTGGTTTGATCAAATTAAATAAAATGAATTGGTTTTCTATTCGTATTGTGCCACAAATCTACATCCTTACCAAAAACTTAATGACAAAATTATTTGGCAATCTACATACAGTAAAACCTGTCTTACTGAACATCGCTCTAGTGAACACCTGTCTCCAGTGAACACCCTTCCTCTACACATACTCTATTGACTACTGTACAAATTACCCTCTCTGTAGTGAACACCTACCAACACTGAACGTTTTTCTTGATAAAAATGTGTAATATACACAGGTTTTATTAGTACATGTACGTTTTTTCTTGAAAAAATGTTCAATAAACACAGGTTTTATTGTATAAGTACATGTACAACATCTCTTAATACTAAAAAATGGAATCACAACATGTTACAACTTGCATCTAAAAATACAAGGATCCTCATTGTTAATGATACATACACAATATGATAGGTACTTTGATTTATACTGTACCTTTAAACATTGAGATTCAGAGAGATTCTAGAAGTTATACATGATAACACATATATGAGGAAAACTCCCAGATTAATTAATGTCACTACATGCTACTAGCATACATACTAGCACACATGTATACATCATATAAATGTACAATAATAATACAATGTAATAATATTAAATTCTCGGAAGGGGTATACATAGATTTCATACATTGATTTTTATTGGATGTTTGCTTGATTTAAAACATCAATGAATGTTAAATATTGTGGTGAGGGGTGTTTAAGTAAATATGTTTCAGGATAATATTGAAATATCGACCTCCGATCTCCACTTCATTACATGTACAATGTACATGTTTAAAATATGTGTAATACAGTATATTAATATTAAAGATAAATCTTTATGCTCTACAAAAAATGAATAATATCAACTGTTTGGCAACTTTCAATCTGACTAAAATGACAAAACAAAAAAATACAGAATAATTCTTAAAAGCACCTAAACTAATATGATCGTTGACTAGCAAAGACATACTATTGCAAAAACACACAGAAACTAATTGCAACTATTTCTTGATCTGTACTGAAAGATCATATCTGACCTTAAAAATATCAGGTATGATCTCTGACTATTAAAGCACAATAATACACAAAAACACAAAGACTAGCAGCTTACACCAAGAACTATTTCTATAGCTGTACAGAAAAGGTTATATCAGACTTTAAAAATTTAATTTGGCGAATTGGTCAAAATTGTAAATTGGCGAAGATTTAATTAGGCGAATTTAGTAGCCTATGGATAAATATCTGTGAAATTGGCGAATTACCCAAATGCAAGTAGGTAGTTACCAGTTTAACCACCAGGTGGCTGATTCGGGTCAATTAACATGGCAGGTATATAAGAAAGTTCCCTTAAACTTGAATATTATCAATTAAAGTGGCTCCATTTTCATATAACCCTTATGTGTCTGATACTTATACTAATGAAAATATGTCCAGTAAAGCAAAATATTATCTGTCCACTAAAAGAAAAGATATTTCATTTTTTTTGATTTTATAGCATGGGGTCTATGGGGAATCTCCCCGAGCTAGAAGTCACATTTTCAAAGAAAATCAATTTTTCAAAGTTGATAAACACTTTTTAAAACCACATTTCTAGATGTAATTTTACATGTAGATTTCAAATATGATATTACTTTGACTGAATTTTGAATTTTTAATGACGTAAATCAAGATTATTTCTACTCGCATCTGGGTTATTTGACAGGAGTGAGCCAGAGCTCCAAATTCATGTTTGTCATTAAAATAAGCAAGGTGGATAAAAAGGAAGCCAATGAGGTGAAGCAATGTGCATTTAATACTCTATTTCAGTCAGAAAATTTGTTTTAGTTTTTCCCAGGGATTTTTGAAAAATTGGCGAAGACATGAATTGGCAATTTTTTGCAATTAACCAATTTCGCCAAATTAAATCACTCAAATTAAGTTGACTAACAGTAACTTAATTCAATGAATTATTTTGGTGTGGTGGAACTGATCCCAAATGCAGATATAAACACATTGATGACAGTCACAGCAAAGATCATCATTGTTGAAATATTATTCCACCTTTCCAGACTCTTCTCCTTGCTTTTTTCTGTGATATCTGTCTTTCCGATATACAGCAATATAAATCCAGTGAAAACCTGTAGTACAATTGACATAAGCAGCATAACAAGTTGGAAGTAATAAAACTCATGATCTGGCCCTGCCTGCAATAAGGACTTTAGTTGGCAGGCATTGGACATCAATAGAGCAATATCTAGCATCCCCTCAGCTATGGTCTTCTTCAACGCATACTGATTAATCTTCAGACCTTCATCTTTTCCATCAACACTATCAATTGCAACATCAGGCTGAAAATATATGAAAATATTAAAAAAATGACCAACAGATTTGAAATACATTGATTGCAAATACACATGTTAATTTACTCATTGTTTCATTATTAACATGATTGATTGTTTACATGACTGGAATGAGAACATATCTGAATATCTGTTTGGAAAAGGTAATTGGAAGCCACAAAAGTGATAGGAGAAGGATCAGCTTGAAAATAAAATACATTGCTTCATTACAAATGATACCAGTATCATGTACCACAAGATTAAATGTAAGAGATCCATCATCTTTGTTTTCATCTTCTGGCTCTTCTTCATGTGGTTGAGAATCCTTTGTATTAATCTCATCAAGTTTCAAAGCACATTTATCACCATCTTCTCCCGTCGCAGTATCCATGGTATCGAGTGGCATTCCTTCAAAGTCTTGGTTTAATTTTCTTGTCCGCTTTCTGAAGATTGCATGTGACATGAATGTTAGAAATGTTGAAGGATGTGAATTTGTGATCTGAGTGTGCCTTCTGGATCTAGTATCTTCAGAGCTCTGTAAAGATGAATGAATTCTAAAAAATAATTTTGGTGTGAGTGTTCATGCACTTTAGCAGTGGATATTAATCTGGGGTATTAGTACATGTTTATTATGAACTGTATTCTCTGGTATATGCAATAAACATATCATTACAAAAGGAATTGCCTCTGAAGAAGTCCTTCTAAAAACCATGATTTTGTTCTAAATAATGCCATAGTTTGCTCATAGAGTACCTGACACACTTGCCATCAAGATCAAAAGGAGATGTAAGCTCATTCTAATGACGAATCATTGAAAGTAATTAAAGAGCATTTACAAATATTTGCATAGAGACTCAGCATGGGCTTTCAACTAGAAGGGTAGGCAACTTCCCATATTTCATACATAAACATTGCCATGGGTTTTCAAAATTGGAGAATGTACACATTCCAAGAAAATCTTACTTTGTACTTTTTATTGGTGATTAAAAGAAATAACTCAAAAATAAAAACATGATCTTCTACATACATCTTGATAATTTAATAAAAATTGGAATTCATCCTAATTATGACAATACAGAAAGTGAACATTCTCCCACAAATTATCTTTTTATTGGAATGTGTTCTTGAATAATTACCCACAATGCAATACTCAAAGAGAACATCTTGATAACTCTTATTCTTATTGGTCTCTTTTGTTTACTTTTATATAATATTGAATATATTTTATGCTTAAATCATATTAAAAATTGATTTTTATTCAAAATAATACTAGTCTAAAACATATACATTTATCTACAGTGCTGATATATAATAATATAGGGTGCGTTTTCAAACTAAACAGAGTGTTCCTACTAAAATGAATTTGCCTGCATACCCCAGAAACACTTATCTGATAGATAGAATGTACAAATAAAACAAAAGTTTTGCTATTATAGGTAAAAAGTTCTCTTGAAATTTCGAAGTGATTTTACCTGTTAATTCTGTCCATGGTCCGCCATTTTTGCGGAAGTTACACTGAAACGCAAACTCCATGAAACGAAACGAAATCACTAGAAAAAAACATGACACACATTGTGCGCATGTGCAGCAAAGTTTAGACCAATTAGATTATTTGATTATTTTGCGCACGTGAATTATTTGCTTCTGAGCACTTACAAGCTTACCACAATAAACAAACCTGGCAGAGACTACCCTTAGCCTACTTCATTTTGGCGAAATTTCAGCTCAAACTCGTGACAAATGCATTATCCATACGCTGGTGTGAAGCCTTGGAGACACTCATTTTGGTAAATATGATTTATGGGGTATACTTTTCTGCAGTTTGTGGGAGTTTGGGACATTAAATGTTAAAATTCAAGAAAATATGCCAATTAAACGACTGATCAATTAATATATACCAGCACTGTAATACTTTTTGAAATATTGCCATAAAAGGGAAGCATGTCATTGCTCATTTTGAAGGTCTCATGTTATTACATAGAGTTGCATACCCTTCTAGTTGAAAGCCCATGGACTCAGTAAGAAATTCCCCGACTCCTAAAAAAAGAGTGAAAGGCAGGCCTGAGAAGCCAATTGTCAATGGCGTTTGAGATCGGAATTCAACGTGAGACATAAGCATATAGAATTTACATGGATAGTTGCTACAGTTTCCATAATAATCTATAAATTTAATCTCCATTTACCTTTGATTTATGGATCTTTTATGATACAATATGCGTGTCAAGGTCTCCGGTAGTCATTTAGGATCCGGAAGTGCCGTGGAACACCTCTAACGGAAACCAAAACGTCAAGATATAGTTCTACTTTGATGCCATAATTTAAGTTTTAGATTCATGTACATTAAATGGCTACACATTTTTATTAATATTGTTGTATTTTCTGTAATAATTGATCTGAATAATGGTTCTTGAGATAAAAACCACTATGACGCAATTTCCTAAATTATTCCGCCAGTTTTGGGACCTACTTTCTACAGTGGAGAAGACGTCCGCCATCATAAAAGGCTGTCACTTTCAGCGCTTTATTATCAACGATTAAGTTTCAGTTTTCATTACAATCTTTCAAACGTTGATGCCATTTTTAATAATAGGTATCTTAGCAACTTAATGATGGATTTACAACTGGAATAACGAATATTAACGACCCGAATATCGGGTATAGAATATTACATTCAAAATCAGTCAAGAATTTGTGGAAAAATGAATGGAAAATTGAAACCAGAGAAGTTCGTTTACTGCGACGCCTTCTACTCAAAGTCCTGGATTAATGCCTTGAAAGCTGGACAGGTTGTATTTGAATGACATCTTGATTTGCATATATCAGCCACATATTCGGTCTATTTTCAAACCTTTGGTTTATCATGACTGGCTGTAGAAATTCGAACACTTGACTCGAATATCAAATCTACAAGGACAAGATTTGTAGATTAATCACTTTATCAAGGTTTAATTTTCATATTACGCGTACGAATAGACACTTACTTTGCATTACTTTTAGTCATATTGTTGATAGAATACAATGAGCAAAAATGATGGCATGTCACGGTCCCCTGTCAATGGGAGAACCTCCAAAGAAAGGGATGATGGAAAACCACAATCTTCAAGCCGGCTAAGTGGAAGGTTTGGTCTTTCTAGTGCAATTAAAGCATTATCTGGAAAATCTAAGTCATATAATGTAGAAAAAGCAACTACAATGGGTGCCCAGACTTCTTGTGCTAAAGATATTGCTACTAATGGTAGTGGTTCTAGCAGCCCAAAATCTATTATGAACTCTGCAAAGCATTTGATCACTCGGGAACGTAGGCAATCTGGAGATAAGTTTGATAAAAAGCCTCGTAGATTTTCTGGTGGGGAACAAAGTAATTTATCTGTGTCACCCCGTGATAAAGCTAGCAGTAAACTGAGTAGGCCAAGCGAGAACTCTGCTGATATACAAAATGCAAATATGCCTTCTGAAGATCTGTCTGGTGTTACAAATTCTGTAACTAAGCCTAGTGAATCTGGAAAAACTGGTAAAGGACGTAGCTCTCAACCTATAGATATCAATGGTACTGATCTTAAATCTGGATCGTTGCCTAGAAGCCCCAAAAGTAAAAGCCCCAAAGTTGCAGTTAATGTTAATGGAAAAGACAAAAGTATAGATATCACATCTAGTCCCAGTAGTATAAATGGTGGGCTTAGGTCCGGTAGTGTTAGTCCCTCTGACCCTAAACCTGTTTTGAAAAGATCCACTGGTAGCACGGGTAGTCTCCGTGTTAAAAAACAAGTAACTATAGAAGAACAAGCTATTAAACTGTCAGATGATATAAACATTGAATCAGGATCTGAAAAGCTAGTAGATAATACAGCATCTGATGTGAAGTCAACAGAGACTGTTCCTCAATCAGTTGAATCAGATACCACAAGTGCAGAAGCTAAAACAGAAGGCAAAGATGCAGATCCAGCACATAAAGATGATGAAGATGAAGAGAAACCTCTATCTGTTTCACCTAATGGTCGGTTTTTGAAATTCAACTATGAAGTTGGCCGGGGATCCTTCAAGACCGTTTATAAAGGCTTGGATGCTGAGACTGGTGTTGAAGTAGCTTGGTGTGAACTTCAGGTTAGTGCGTTAAATTAATCTTCGTGTCACGATGGATATTGTCACAGTTTTCACAATTTTCTTTATATTGATATTGAGTCAAGAGTAGAGAATACAAATGAAATATACTGATATTATTCATTTTGTTTAAGAGTTTTTTGAAATCACAACATTTTTGTGCAGGCATCAATATCTTTTACCACCAATGGTCATCATGTATGAATAGCAAATAGAGGATTAGTTGAAAGTGAAGTGTTTTTTTATTTAGTACAAACAATTATCAAAATCCCCTTTGTACATATCGCCTAGTCATATCTAACACACTGGACTCTCTGAAGCCACAAGAGCGACCCAATCTCTGTGTGAGTCAAGTGTGTGATGGAATTGAATCTCAAGATAAGTCAGAAATGTGATTTTCTTTGTATAACCTTGAAGTTGATGTATGCACTGTAATTGTATAACATACTGGCAGTCTGACACATACCAAAGTAAATCTACATAGTTATTATCAAACTTGATCCTGGTAAATAAACATTGGTCATTTTATCTTCCCACTTAGCATACTTCTGAATATATAGGAATTTCAGGTTTTTGGTCTTTTTATCCATGTTCTCAGTGAGGCAGTATTGAGTGGTGTTACAACCATACTGTAAACAATGTATACCTCTCACCTAAATATCACTAATTTATGTATATAAAATGGGCACCTTGCCTTAAGCACCACAGCGAAATTTGGAAAATTTGAAAGTACAATGAATGTGAACTCTTGATTGGACAATATCTTCTTGTTCTCTGCAGTTCAATATTAGTTTCTAATGATATTCTATGGTTTCATATGTATCCACTGTATACTATCCAGGTACATGTATATGTACATGTATAAAGCACTTATTTGTTCCAAAATAACAAATAAGCCACATCAATATTGAATCTAGCTTATATAGTTATATCAGATTCAGAGGATCAACCATGATTTTTGATAACCTCCATTGTCCACTTCCTTGTATTTGTGATGAATAAGAAGACAACTTAGAGCATAAAATCAAAATAACAAAAATTTAGCCATACATTTCAGTGTCTCTAAAGTGGTTAATGATGGATTTACGAGACCAACCTTGAAAAAGTATTTTAGTCTCTAGGCTATAATAACCATGCATTGTCTGCTTGTGCCTGTCCCTCAGTGCATGTGAAACCCCTTATATGCCATTAATGAATAAAACAGGACAATTCAGTTTGTTTGTATATCCTTGACTCATCAATAATTGAATAAAATGGTGAGGAATCAATCACTCTCTTCATGTAGCTCAGTAGTTGTTATATGGCTCCACAAAGCTAGATAGAATAAGAGGGAACTACAAGTTCACTCTGCCCTTGCCAATCAAGTTGTTGTTTTAGACCTACAGATTCATGATTTTCCATTATTCAAATCAATGATATTTATCATTGTCATCAGTTTACATGATGAGAATATATCAGTCTAATATAAAATACCAAGAAATGGCTCATGCTTTGTTTATTCTCTCTATTGGGATCACAATATACTGGGATAGATATATCATTTTGACAATCACTGTAATATGTGTCCTTTGGAAAGTTTGATTTTGCATCTTTTCTTGAATTTTCCTCCAGAGTCTAGAATTTTTCTGATAGTCCCTGGGTTTCAGGGTATTATTTAATATGTGATATTGGTCCAGGATGGTGAATTTCTGAGGTTTCAGAGACTGGGTGGTTCATTTATGTCAAACTCATATTCAAAAAGTTATATCTCCCCTCCACATGTAGATTGGCAACTCATGTTTTGATAACGGTTCAAAATATATTATTATTGTACATACTGTTTATACATACCATTGTCAGGTCCGGATATATCTTTATCATGTGCATATATTTCTTCTGGGATGTACACACATTAGTTACAGTTATATGCATTTTCCTGTATAATGTATGAGTTCAGCTCATTCAACCTGTAACTAATCCATCATGTATTGGCTGAGAAGAAAACTGAAATATCACATCATGAAACATATGAAGTATTTAGACTTAGAGGTCATGTTATCTTTACAATAATGTCAAGGAAAAGTATATTAGGATTGATGTTTCGTTGGCTGCATATATGTCTAATGTTAAAACGTATCCCTCAACTTTCAATATTAGTTTAAGCTGTTAACGATGATACTAAGCCAATGAGTGTTTTACACAAAACTGCGTTTGGTTTCAGAGGATGAAATAACAATTTAAATCACCAGTAAAATGAAAGTGAATAGTTAGCCAGAATAAATGTGTCTACTGCATCTGTAGTGGGTTGGACTGACTTCATATGTTTGCCATTTTATAGTTTTGTGTTCTTTTTGGTATTAAGGAGTGGATGATGATGAACAATCCCAGACTTTAAACAAATATTTTTTATTGTTTATTGGATGATGTGAAATGTCTGGAGTTATACAGTCTATGTGTCAGTTACAAATTATTGTGGGGTAAAGTTTGTATTAAAAATACATTCAAACTGATTAAAAATTTATAATACACTAACATGTTCATGAACTGAATGAGCTTTGAAATTAAATATATTTTTTTATGAATATTTCTAGTTTATTCAAGTTAAAACTGCACAATACAGTTTATTTTTTATTCTTGAATCTTATAGGTGTTAATTCACATTTTGTGAATAGATTTGATGATGTCATCGTTTTTCTATATTCTCTGTATTTTAAACGAACCAAATGATTTTTAGTAGCATTTTCTTTTACAATGTATTCAGTAATATACATGTCTGTACTGTGTAATATATAAGGCCTGTTGCCTGTCTATGGTTATATGTTTTATTGCATCACTGGTCTGATTTATCTCAGCAATAAAACATATATTACAGGCCTGTAGGTATAGACAGTTTGAGTATACATGTAGTTCATAACAGCATCATCTTCAAATGTCAAACAGATCAAGTTCATCAGTTTTTAATGAAAACTCATTTGTTGACTGATTTGTCATGTTTGTAAACCTATTCATTTCAGATTCTCTATTTGAGAATTTTGAAGCAATTAATATGTCCTTTTTCAAAAATAAGACCAATTTCAGAAAAGCAAGTCCAAATAAGTCCAGGTTTAGTCATAGGGGAGGGTCGCCCTTAACCCCAATCCCCTATGGACTTATCAGCAGGAATTTCTTTTAATATTTCTCTGCTGAAAGTGATGAATACATATCAAGCCAAGCTACCCCCCAAGAGCACGATCATACTGAATTCAAGTGTGTGTGCCATGCAGATCCATTCACTCTTCTTAGAAAAATATGATAGAAAACCACAGACTTGCACACACTGAGCTCTCGCTGCCTTTCTTTTGAAATACTTTGACAAGTCAAGATTATACTTGCATATCTTTCTACCAGTATGTTGCCTCAGTTATAATATATGAAATACCTTGATGGATGAGATATCAGACTTGTGTTACGGGATCAATATTCAAGGGAGATGAGTTCATCATGTTATTGGGATAGTCAAGTTGACCATTGATACCATATTACTTGCATCTTAATATTCATTTCCCCTCTATCATAGTCTAACATCAGTGAGTAAGTGATTTTACTGAAAAGTGCAATTGCCCTGGTACCCATAGGATAGCAGACTCTTTTTGAGAGGCTAAGTCAAACTTTTTGAAAGGGTAAAATGCTATAATACCAAAAAGTCAAAATGATATGTTTTTTATATAGATTTGTATTGCCTATCAGTTCAAAGGGTGAACCTCTTGTTTTCCGTAGATAGGATTAATATTCTATGTAAGGATGAATGGATAACCAGCACGTCCTTCAGCGGAAACCTAATATTTTTAAAGTATTATGAAGTAGCTTTGGTCCACATCTTAAGTCACAAGGTCTCAGTTGCTCCAACTTCTGTGTTACAACACCTATAAAATAGATGATGGTTGATCTGAGGGTTTACCAAGCATTTCAGTCCATCTTTCTTTCATTCACATATTTGTGGTCACTCATATTTATATTCATACAATCTTTGCTTTCGTGCTGAAGCTAAGTTTCACATTTGTTTTGTGGCTAAGCCATTTGAGAATTGATACACACAATTTGTATTCTCAAGAGTTTTAGTCAGCAGTCTTATCAGAGTTTTTGATGTTTATGTTTGAATCTGAATGAAGGAGACCAGTTGGGAAATCATGCCGACCAGTTATTGAGTATACAACTATAATGTATCATCCCTTATATTTTGTCTTTTTTACATTATTGGTTGGTAAAGTGCTGAAATCAGGACCATGTTTACTTTTTGGGGACTGACATCAAAATTGGATTTAGCGAATATTATTTAGCTTAAAGCTAGTGACATTGAAATTTCATTTGAACCACTTTCAGGATGGTGCATGAACTTGAGCTTAGTATTGTATGAAGCAGGGCCTGGATCCAAAGGAAAACCAAACAGTTTATTTGTTTATAGTATATGTTGGTTTACTCTTGGATTAGCACTGATACTGGGCCCACTGTGTTACTTATCAAGTAAGCATTGATCCCTTTAAACCCAACTACACATACTTATGGCATGTTCACGAATCATATGTTTGGGTTTCTCATCATAGTAAGAGACTTTGACAAACGACGTGTCACACTTCATGTACTGCAAGTTTCCCTTTCTTGTTGTCAATATTGCCCTAATCTCTACTAAAAGTCAATTTTCAAATAACCATCAGAGTGTGAATGAACAAGCTAACCTGATATGTTATCTCAACAAAATTCTAAAGAAATATTTCTTCTTTTACGTATATACAAAATTATATCATAAAATTCAGGTTATTGATCCCTTACTCTATTTCTGTCCTTGCCTTTTTTACATGAATTTATAGAGTTTTGCAACACCCTTGTCTGATACTCTATATAACATCTTGATGTGTCTATGGCTTTTCCCAAGAATGGCATTGAAGTCTCAGTATGATATATACATGTGATTCAGACAGACTTTGAAGGGCCTCTTAATTTAGAACATATTAAGGATCATACTGCTGACAGGAATCCTTTTTTGCTGA